CCAGTTTATCTACTCCATTCAATCATGAAACCATCATCCTCACAATATTGACCTGGCTACCTTGGCCAGGTCGATCCGGCACCGAACGGATGCTTTTCGTCTTCGCTGCCGGGTAGCTATCCCAGGGAAGGCACGAAGGTAAGGCCAGTGTTAGTGTGTGTTAGAAGGTACTTCTAATTACACCAAGTTTTATGAGTTCTTTTATGTGGGACGGAGCACGACCTAACGTATCACTGGCCGGACTTGTCAATCGCGTCGTCGGAGGGGCAGGAAAAGCTTAAATGATCCTTTCTCTCGCGAAGGAGAGAGCAAAAGTGGGCATAGAAGTGGATAAAGGGACTTTTCGAAGGTCGAGTATCATATGATCAGATGGTATGCGAGAATGCATGTGTTGATTGCTCTCTCCCCGTTCAAGCAGCCCCTTTATATCCTCCAAGCTTCTCCCAAGTTGATATCCCGTTTTCAGGTATAGTATACATTCTATCAGGAAGAGGGCACTTCTTGCCACTTACTGAAGGCCACGTAAGTCATCTACGTCAGCAACATCAGCTCCATCTCCCCGATCGAATAGCTCTTCTAGCTATGAAATCGATAGTTCAGTCTCTCGAGGTCCCCGAGCCAGTAATAGTTATGCCGGACTCCTCAAAGGGTCCCCGTTCGAATAGGAGATCCTCCGGACCCCTCAGTGGTCTAGGAAGAAGAAACAACAGTCTGCAGACTTCCCTTCTTACCTGGTTTCAAGCTGTATTACCTAGAGAGACCTAGAGACCTCAACTCGTTCGGACCTTCTTCTCGACACGCTTACGTCTGCCCATGTGGCCCGGGATTCGCCGGACAACAGGGTATGCACACCTTGGGCCCACGCCGTGTACAACATCTCTTCTTCAGGTACCACGGGTGGATCACGGTGTGACGGGAATTCTCTTTCATCCACTTGATCCAATACTTCTTACGCTCGGGACCAACTCTCACGCGACCACCTGTCCCGCCGCCCGTTGGGCATATGGTCGGCCGCTTCAGCCCGCCCCACACGCCGCAGAGACCCGGGTCGACATGCGAGAGCGCCAAGACAACCACGGCTAGGAGGGGGCGTAGGGACCGCATCACCGATATGGAATTTGATCGGCGGCCAGTAGTGTGGTCCCGATGGTGTGTGTATGAAAAATAGACGCCTGTGTCAAATTTATGGTTATGTGCCTATTTTTCTTTGCTGAAAAAGAAGGTGTCTTGGAGCCAAGGCTTCAAAGTATTAAGGCAGGAATTTTTTCGAATTTTTGTATTGCTTGAATGTGTTGGAAGTGATCATTCTAAAGCTGGACGATAGAGGGGCGACTCCTCCTTATATAGACAATTTCGGATTGAAGAACTAAGTGACATATACACTTGTACCCAGTACCATATTGAACCATATTGAATGACAAATACAGAGGTGAAATTCCTGACCTTGTAAGTCATCCCGTTCCGAAGATATTTGGTTTCAAAGGTGGTTGGCTGTGTTTGAGGTTGTCGGCATCTAAGGTCTTCCATCTTGTTTTACTTGATTGATCGGGGTTTTTCGATTCCCGATCTCTACTTGATTTGGTATCCGATAATTGTCGAGAAGAAGGTATGAACGAGTTGACGTCTCTAGGTCTCTCTAGGTACCATACCCCACCCCCCTTTGGGTAACACCCCCCTTTGGGTAGCGCAATTGAAAAAATCCCCACCAAAAGTCTATCATTTGAACTTGTCACACAACAGGATGCACGGACAGTGTGAGTGACTGAGCAACGATCGGGAAGAAGATCCCCTGTGAATCGGGCAACGAAAGACTCTTGGTTTTTATCTAAATGAAAGACATATCTCTCTTATATACATGAGTAGAGAGACTAAGAGCAGCTGCTGCCTGCAGGCTAGTGTGACTGCCTATTACGGTATACTATAAGTTACCTGAAAACGGGATATCAACTTGGGAGAAGCTTGGAGGGATACAAAAGGGGCTGTTTGGACGGGAATAGGGCAACCGGGAGCAGAGCAATCATCACATGAATAAAACGGACTATCAGATCATTTGAGAATCTACTACGAAAAGTCCCTCTATCAGGGTGGTTTTCCATATATGGAAAGGTGTGCAATCCATAAGGGATTTCCCGGTGATCTGCCGGATCGGATGATTCGCCGGATTTTGGTTCCCTTGCATTCCGGTGAAGATTTGAGTGAAACTCCACGAAAATAATATGAAACAATCTCACATTAAAGCAGAAGCAAGAAAGATGCCTAGCAATTCCATTCAATCTACTTCGCAGTCATCAAGCCACCGTGGCCGCTTCCTGTGGCGTCCCGATCGCGCAAGTCCCCGCATTGCGACTACCATCTCCTGGTCGCGCTCGACAGCCAATGATGGCTTTTTGGGACGTGAGGAAGTGGTCAATGCCGGCTTTGGATCTTTACGCAACTTAATGTTTGGCGATTTTGAGTGTTCCGGAGCTGTCGTCGGTTCTGGTGGAGCCGAAATGGCGACGACAATCTCGTCTCGAACGCCCGGACTCTTCTCGCGAGTCTGTGGAGCAACAGAGGGTCCGGATCCCATTTCCGACATTTTTTTCTGGTTCTTTCGCTTGAGCTCTTTCCGTATCTGCCTGTTTTTCTCCCGCTCTTGTTGTCTGGCTTCCTTTGCCTGACGTCTTTGCTCAGTTTTGCCTCCCGCTGCCTTCTCTTCTCCAGAGCGAGAACTTTGAGGTTTGCCGCCTTTGCTGTCGCTCAAACCTTTGTCGTTCTTTCTCCAAGGCCTCTTCTTGCTTCTGAGTCTCCATGGCTGCTTTCTTCAAGCGCGCTTGGGCCACTTTTGCAGGGCTAAATACCTGCGCCGAGTTAGGATCTACACGATCGAAAAGGTAATCCTTCAGAGCTTTACCGCGCATTCTGCGCTGCTTTTCGTGAAAGATAGTCTCCCGAAGTCCCTGATTCTCATATCGAAGCAATTCGTTCTGAGATTGGAGACTTTCGAGAGTACTTTGAGCTTCCGACTGTCTCGGCTAGCGTTTTTGAGGATCCATCGACTACCTTGTCGACAAGTCGGCGCAAATCCCGAGCAGTGGGCTGCTGCAGGGCGAGCGAGTCAACGGAGCTGTCGCCAGACTCAGACTCATCTTCTGTTTTCTCCGCGATCTGCGACAAAACGACTTCAGGGTCAAATGGGAGGAGTCCGGTCCGTTTCAACCACTTGCGATGTTCTCCGCCGAGAAAGATGACCCGAATGCGTTCCAAAATAACGACCAGAACTCGCGTTTCGATAGCCCGATGAGTCCCTGTGTCTTTGCAGTCCACTGGATGAGCTGGTTGGTGTATGCGGTCGAAAGAGGGCCAAAGGGACACATCAAGGGGCTGCAGCCTGTGCGTGGAATGCGGCGGAAACACGGCAACGATTATCCGATGCTGGTCACACCACTCCAGGAAGTCCATATTGACATGACTAGAGTGTCCGTCGGTAATCAGGAGGCGGTAATCCCGGCCGTTTCGCGCCTTTTCTTTCGTGAACCGGTCGAAAACACCAATGAGCCATTCCTTTCCAAGTTCATGGTTCGTCCAACCCGTTTCTGAGGTTGTGAAAAACGCCGCTTGGTGCTCCGGATCAAACTCCGTGAGCCAGGAGTCCTGAACTTGCCCTGGCTTGCCTTGGTAGATGAGAAACGGGGGTAGCGCGGTCAGGTCTTGACAGACACATGCCAGGAACGTGATCCATGATCTGTTGCCATCCTGCGCAGCACCGATCAATTTTCCTTGCTTCTTGGCACGAACAGAGAATACTCTCTTGGTACGATTGATGACGCCGAGGAGAAAGCCCTTTCGTCCACATTATACGTGTTGCAAGGCAGGATGTCGTATTTCTCGATTTTCTCGCCAATCTTGTACGATCAGCAATGAAGGGATGGACTTGGGCACCTACTTACAAGCTCATAGTAGGCTCTGTATCTAGAAGCATTGTCTGCTCTCTTTCTTGCGATATCAAAACCGTCGAACCAAGTGCAACCGAGCTCATCGCTGTTACGTCGGACGAAGCTATACGGCCAGTCCTTTCCGACCTCAATTTTGGCGATATCCTGGGCAAAACTTTTGATCATCGGCAGCGTAGGCGGAATCCCACGTGATGAAAGCTTGCGAATATACGCAACAAGATCCCTTTCTTGCTGTTTTGAGAGACGTGACTTATACAAACTGTCGGCATCCCGTCTTGACCTCTGTTTGCCTTGGTGTCGCCGTCGCAGGGTAGTCTCGTCGCAATTGAACTGACGCGCAGTCTTGGCATAGTTAACAGTGTCACACAGCTTCAGAAACTCAAGCGCTTCATCAATCGGGGCCATGGTGGTGGAGAAATTCAGGATTGAAGTGGAGACGTGAACTGGCGGTGAATCCGGCGAATCGCCCGATCCGGCAGATCACCGGGAAATCCCTTAAGTTATCATTCGGAATACACATTAGATTCGACTTCTGGGGCTCCTCTTTAGTCTCTGACGTGAAGAAGAAGTTAAATATAGCTTTACAGGCGACCATTCGAGCTCGCCGGCAGACTGGTTTCGAGACAGTCGGGTTATCTCAACTGCCCAAGAATGGTGTCAGAACAACGGGAGCAGGGGTCACGTGCGATAGGGAGATAAGCAGATGACTCATTGGAATAGAGCCCGAGAGACCCCAAAAAGGGGCCCCGGGCGCGCTCCGGAGAAGAACACACACAATACACACATCTCTGCAAGCCTAATCGGCCTGCACTCCTACATACGATTGTTCTACTGCATCACAACTGTGCATTTCCTATTCAGGATCACCTAGAACCTTCGGTTCTGACAATTAAGAGTCTCAGTCTCTTTCCAGCCAAAAAGAGCCACGGAAGAGGCATTTCAAGCCTACAACCACAACAACAGAAAAACACGACCGCTCCCTCCATACGGAAGCGACCCGATAGCCACTCGAGATCGACTCGAGAAGAGCCCGAATACAAGCCGAACTCGACACGAACTCTGGCAATGTCCCATAAAGAAGACTCGGAGGTCTTCCTCGACACTCCGTACGACTGGATCAACTGGCAGAGCAACTTCGTGGCGAAAGCCATCGACCGGGAGCTCTGGGATTGGATCGACGGCAAGAAGGATCTCATGAAGAGGCCTGAGAGGGTGGCCCTTGAACCCCCTCCGACTCTGAATGCCGCCGAAGAAGGTCCCGCTGCATCTGCCGCCACTACCTCAACGGAAACGGCATCAGCTACCGTTTTCGCTTCTACTACGAGGCCAGCTTCTGTGGCCGAGAGAGATCGTCGCCTTCGAGAGAAGCAATTCGAATACACGATCTATCAGTCAGATCTACGCCTGTTCGGGCAGCAACAGGAAGGCATTCGAGACCTACGCAGCTGGGTCGCCAAGACTATATGCAAGACATACCACAGAACATGCTGCAAGGCGAACCAGTCCTTAAAGCAGTGGTACGAGCTTCTGAACAGTAATGCAAAAGGGTCCGAGAAGGAGGTGAGGAGAACCCTTCATCAGAAATACGAGAAGGCTATTACCCCGACCGCAAAGCCGCCTCGCAACTGGACCAATTGGTCCGACATATGGATTAAAGCTATTAACGAGGGGCTCGAGGGAGGACTCCCCGAGGCTCTTAACGAGGAAATCTGGCTACGAGGCTTCCTCAGGGCCGTCAGACCACATTTCCCCCATTGGGTCGACACGATTACCATCACGAATCCCCAAGACCAACCTAATTTCACAATCCACAAGCTAAAGGACCTCTTCCTCGCGTATATTTACAACAATTCGGGCCCCTCTATCATTAAACGAGGAGCTTTTGGTCCGACCTTCAACGCCCGTGGAAACCACCAGCGAGGAAGAGGTGGCAAGAGGCCCAGGTCGAAGACCACAGACGACAAGGGAGAAAAATACTGTCGTTTGTGCGAACAGCCCGGCCACCGCCTTAACTTTTGCTGGGGAATCTTCCCGGATAGAGCTGCCGAGTGGTGGAAGCCCTCGGACATAATCAAGAAAAACCTCAAAGACGAGTCCATCGCAGAAGAGATCAAAAGAGCAAAGGGGAAGCGACAAGAGCAACGCAGAGACGGAGAGAAGCATGAGGATCAGGACTGACTCCTAAGAGCGATGGGAAAGTGCTCTCTAGCTTCTTTCTTCATCGCTCGAGCGGACACAAAGGCAGCTTTGCCGTTGATAACTACCCTCTATGCCACTCCGCCCTGCTTGACTCTGGGTCCACCATCGACATCTTCAACGAGATTTCGCTTCACCCACTTTAGAAGAGCAACCCCTGGAGACTTCCTTTGGGCAGGAGAAAGCAAGGTGCCAATCCAAGGCTATGGCGACGTGGACGTGGAAGTCGAGGGCCCTCAAGGACCTCGTCTGCTGCGTTTAACCGATGCCGCCTACTGTGAAAGCTTTGCATGCAACCTCATCTCCTACAAACACCTAAAAAGGCAGGGCGTTTGGTGGGACGAATCCCCCGGCCAGCGATCATGCCTTCGAGCAGCTGATAGACGCATCCTCGCCTTCGTCCAAGAAGAGCATGGGCAATTCGTGCTGGAGCACATTCCTTACGATGTGTCAAGGAGAGCGTTCTTCGCCCGACGCAACAAATTCAGCTCCATCACCAAACGCCACCCACAGACCGCGACCGCAGAGCTCTGGCATCTCCGCCTTGGGCATCCAGGTCCAAGAACCCTGGAGCACCTTGTCAACTGCTCAAGAGGCGTCCGCATCAAAGGCATCACCACCACAGGATGTGATGACTGCGGCACGGCCAAATTGAAACGACAAATTCGAAGGGAGCCACGAGAAACGCCGCCACCAGGCGAGCGCCTGGCAGTCGACTTCCACGATCTCGAGCCTGACCAACTAGGCTACGATTCGATGATGTTGATCACTGACAGGGCCACAGGCTTCGCTTGGGACTACTACCTTCAAGACCGCAGAGCAGAGACGATCAACGCCTCTTTAGGCCATGCCATTGATTACCTCCGACACCAATATGGGTTCTCCGTTAAGGTGATTGAGTGTGATAATGAGCTAACCTCCCAGAAGCCGGCAGTCACAAACTTCCTCTTGCAGAAGCTTCTTAAGGTCGAGCCCTCAGCTCCCTACACGCAAGCGCAGAACGGAGGAGCCGAGCGCTCGGGGGGTGTGATCAAAGACAAAGCCCGCGCGATGGGAGGAGAACTGCCTACTCAACTGTGGAGAGAGATCTACAGAGCCGCGGTCTACCTCAACAACCGCACGCCAAAGAGCGGCCAGAAATGGAAATCTCCCTACGAGAACGTCACAGGCAAGAAGCCTCCGCTAGAGCATCTCCGCGCGTATGGCTGCAAAGCCTTCGCGATGACTACAACCGCACAAAAGAAAGCAGAGCGCTTGAAGAAGCTCAACCCACGAGCCTGGATCGGCTACCTAGTCGGCTATACGTCTTCGAACGTGTACAGAGTCTGGGTTCCCACAGAGAACAAGGTGATCTCGACGAGAGACGTGATTTTCGATGAAAGGCAGCTGTTTGATGGAACATTCCAGACGCTAGCGCAAGATGTCAAAGACGCAGACCTCGAAGAGCTCGCAGAAGCCCTAAGACAAATCACCCTGCCTGAAGAAGAAGAAATCCCTTCGCTCACATCTACACAGGCCCCAGACGAGCGGCTCTTTGAGCTCAACGACGATGCCAACGACGAGCAGGTGGAAGAGCTTGAAAGAAAGCCAGCCAGCGGGAAGAGCGATGGACAATACACAACAGCATGCTTCGAGCTGCTGCCAACGCCTCCACAGACTCCCCCAGTCGCCCTGCTCGCGGCGTCGATCCAACAAGCCAGCCATGTGTGGAACAAGCCTTTATCACGAGATCCTGGAAATGGACTCGTTGATTCAAGCACTGCGTTCGCGCAGGAGCCGCCCTCTCGAGGTTAAACGAAGGCCGATTATATTTCCGAGAGAGGCTATACGTACCCGCAGGCGAACTACGGACCCTTCTCACTCAACTCGCCCACGACAGCGTCGAATCAGGCCACCCCGGGAAAAACAAGCTATACGAACTCATTTCACGCTCTTATTGGTGGCCAAGGCTTAGCGCCGATACGAAACAATTCACACGCAATTGCCACGGATGCCTGAGGAACAAGACCTCCCGGTTACGGTACCAGGGGACGTTGAAACCGCTCCCAATTCCCTTGCAAAGATGGAGGGACTTGTCCGTTGACTTCATTGGCCCAATTCAGCGCACAGCTCGTGGATTCGACGCAATCATGGTGGTAGTCGATAGGCTGTCAAAGGACAGACATTTCACGCCTTGCAAGACCGACATGAAAGCACATGACTTGGCAACGCTCTTCGTACGAGATGTCTGGAAACTCCATGGACTACCGGATTCAATCGTATCTGATAGAGGACCACTGTTTGTCTCGGAATTCTGGAAAGCGGTTTGCCACCGCCTACAGATCAATATCAGCCTCTCCACAGCATATCACCCCGAAACTGACGGCCAGACGGAAAACGCTAACTCATTTCTCGAACAATACCTTCGCCAGTATGTTAGCTTTGCTCAGGACGACTGGGACGAGTGGCTCCCATTGGCCGAATTCGCAGCCCGTAACGTTGTTAGCGATTCAACGGGAATGTCTCCATTTTTTGCGAACACAGGCTACCACCCCCGAATGAGCTTTGGTCCCCCTCGCGCAATACCACTCGCGGCATCCAAAGACCTGGCAGAACGCTGCAACGAGGGGAACGAATTTGTCGCCAAGATGCAAGAAATCACTGGTCTACTTCGGACAAACCTGCTCTCAGCTCAAGCCTCACAAGAACAGTTCGCCAACGCAAATAGATCACCGGCGCCAGCGTACCGAGTTGGAGACATGGTGCTACTTAGCACACGCAACATCGATTCGGCCAGACCCATCCCCAAACTAGATCATAAGTTCATTGGCCCTTTTCGAATCGAGCGCGTGCTCAACCCTCACTCCTACCAACTGAAGTTGCCACATGAATTAGACTCAATTCACAATTCATTCCACGCCAACCTCCTACGACCGTCACCAAACGACCCGCTCCCCGGCCAATACAACACACCGCCCCACCAATAACGCTAGATGCAAAGGGGAGAAACTCTGGGCGATTGAAGCAATACTGGACTCGAAACGCACAAAACAGAAAGGCTTCCAGTACCATATACTATGGAGAGGCTTCGACCTTGAGCAGGCAACATGGGAACCACTACAGAACGTCGTCAACGCTCACATCGCCATCAGAGACTTCGAGAAGCACAGCAAAAACAAACCCAGACCCACGAAACAAGAAGTGCAAAATGCTCGCCTACAGGCTCAGCAAGACGTGGAAGAATCAGAAGCGATGGAGTAAGGAGGCCCATGTGAGGGAACGATCATGTGACTTTCATACTTTATGAAATGTCTCACTTTGATTCATGTAAATAGCGAAAGTCAGAGTCTTCCTTAGGAACCTCCTTCTCTCTTCGTAGACAATCACTTTACCCAAGTCGCACCCGACCTTGTTCGTGCACTTGTACCGTCACAACTATATGAAGTTCGGGTGCCTTTCCTCGAACTAGCTTTGTGCGCCTTCGACATAGATGTCCACCGTCACTTGAATGCCCTCCTGCTTGACGTCTTCGTTCAGCTCGCCCCGGCACACGGCCGCTCCGTGTTGCGCGGTGCTGTCGTCGTCGAAGACGCTGGAATGCGAGCGGCCCTTCAAGACGCTCAGGCTTGAGCTCTGGGACCCGATGCTGCCCCTGTTGGAGCAGGTCCTGACCGTCCTGGATCCACCAAACTTGGAGCAAATGTCCTTTCGGAGGATAAACTTGTCCACCATGGGCTTGACGCCCGGGATCGACAGGGCAATGAGCGTCGCGCCGATCTCGGAGACTTCGACGACGAGCAACCTTAGAAAGGCAAAATCAAAAGTATCGGGAGTTTGGTCTTGGTTTTGTTTGCAACACGTCAGTAAATAGTTGGACCCAGGCGGTACGGGCTTACTCACAGGCAAAGCCAATCACGAAGACAATTCGACTGACGGAGATGCCAACGACGCTGCATTATGCGGTTAGAGTCGCGTCGCCTTGGTAGTTGCCGGTGTACCCAATACTTACGCAATGCCTGGCAAGAGGATGCAGGCCAGTTGAACCTTTTGCTTCCGCGGCATCTCCAAGATCTTGAGCATGGCCACGGGGAGGCCAAAGAGCAGCAGGTCGCAGGCCAGTGAGATGCCTGAGATAGCGCCGTATATCTCATCCCACTCCAAGCATTCGAACCTGGTCTCGTCCTCGAATGAGGTGGGCGCCCAAAGCATGTTGACGGGCTTGCAGTGGAAAATGATGAGGCAGATCTGCGCCAGGTAACCGATAACCAAGACGGCGAATATTATCCGGATGGCGACGAGAAACCCCTTGTGCAGCGCGCAGATACGGTAGTAGAAGGCGAGGCCCGATATGCGGCAGAGGACGAGGGCAGTGGCGTAGACCAAGTGCGCAATCGAGTCGAAAATCTGCTGTCTCACCCACGTGGCGTCGTCGATGGCGAAACGGACAAAGGCGATGCTTCTTCCGGTGCCCAGGTTGATGAGTTCTATACAAAGGGCCGCAAAGGGAATAAAGACGACCTGTGCGGGAAGGGAGTCAGCGGCTGGCCAGTCCTTGCCACGGCTCCTCCATCAGGGGCGGCTCGCCAGCGACGCCAGCGCTATTCCGTCGTCTAGGCCGAAGCCGAAGCGCTTGATGATGAACCTCCGCGAGAGCAGTCTGCAGATGACGACCAAGGTGGCCAGGGCTGTGACGACAGAGATGCTGACGATGCCCGCCACGTCTTGGCTCATTTCAAGTTCCTCGCGGGTGACTCGCGGCGGCAAACGGCCGGAAGCTATGGCTTCTTCAACTCGGGGGTCGCCCATTTTGGCTCAGTTGCATCACGATACTTCCAGTCTGCCGGCGAGAGAGAGCCGGGAAGCCGAGGACTATGAAGATGTTGAAAAGTCGACATGGGCTGCCTGGCGTGAGCGCGGAGGGCGTGAGACTGGATTACCTATTCTTTGCCACTCCTGAAGTGTCGGCCTCGGCCATGAGCCGCCTGTCATTACTCGCATCATCCCAGCTTCTAGAAACTTTGTGCCAGAGGCAGTCTTTCCGCGCCGCAATTTCCCGGCCAAAAGAGTGAGGAGCGAGTCAAGCCGGCGCTCAAGGGCAGACACTGTTTCACCTTCGCCGCACTACTGCCAACCAGGCGCAATATGCTCAACCGGACTTGAGCCCTGCCGGCTGTCGAAGGCTTCGACGCTTCTCGGAGGGCCAGCGGGGGAATCGCTGTGTAGGGCGGTCGTCGCGATCGAGTGATTCGAGTCCCATCGTTTGGAGACTCCAGAGTCTGCTTCAGCCTCTTCATCCGCTTGGCCCATCTCGCAGCTATCTGTCGGGTTGACTCATGCCTGCGCCTCTTTTAGATCCGGGGTCTTCTATTGCTTGGCTGATGTGTACGGCAGTGATCGGAATGGTCCGGTATGGTATGGTATGACCTCTATACCATACCATACCACCTGCTGATATCCTTACCGGTATGGCTTACCGGTAATACCAGTAATACCGCCAAGACCGCTCAGAATGAGGCGGGTTGCAAAAATAGGGAAATGTATTGGCTACTAGCTGTCAACTTGATCGCTTATTCGCTTTCATTCTCGCTATCCCCGCTATCTTCGCTATCCTCAGCCCGAGGCTTCCCATACCAGGCACGTAGACACTCACAAGCCTCTATGATATCTGCCTTAAGCCTACCTCGACGATCAACTATACCAAGCTTTGCGCTACTAAACAGCCGTTCGCACTCATCTGACATTGGGGAAACCGCAAATAGATCCAGAGCGAAGCGGGCGAGGTCTCTTTGCGAGTCATAACGGGATAGCCAATAGGCGATGGCCTCATCGCAACTTGCCTCCTCGTTATGCAGCCGGTCGGTCGAAATATACTGCTCATACAGATCGGTGGCAGCAGCCGGGCCGTCTATGCGAATGCGCTTATGTTCCCTCTGCCGATCGAATGCTGGGTCTGGGTCCTTGTCCTTCCTGACTGGAGGTGGTAGCGCCTCAACAGGGTACTTTCCTTATACTCTGTCTCCCAGAGCTGCTTCACCGCCAGCTGTGCGCTTTCATACCACTTCTGTCTTCCTTCGTCGCCCTGAAGAACCCATTCTTGCCTGAACCATGCCCACTTTCGATACGGATTGAGTACTTGAGCTGCGTAATACGCTGGCGGAAGATCAGTATCTTCAGGAAATCGATGTTGCCAATTCCGTTGTCGGTTGCTGTAATACTCCTCGCACTTTGACCACGCAGCATCTGCACAGCCTTGGAGATACCTCCACGTGAAGTTGTCGTCGTCTTCCTCGTGAATGTCATGGTAGTGATCCTTCGTCTCGTTGATCTCGCGGAGAAGACAGTCCAAAGTCGAAAACCAGTCAGCGAGGGATGTCTTGTTTCCTTCAGCAAGCATAGTTGCCGCGAAGAAGTCTTTAAGTGCGAGCTCGATCTTTTCAAGCTCGAACCAGTGCTGTCCATCTAGTTTGAAGTTCGAAATCCCTTGAGACCCTCTCCCTGGTACATGACGAGCTGAGAAGATTTCCAAACGTTCTCGAACATTTAACGCTCGTGTGATCGAATGAAACCACGAATTCCAGCGTGTGGAGTTGTTCTGGATAAGCTCGAGCCCATCGAATTCGGAGAGATGGCCGCCGATAATAATTGCTGCAAACTCCTCCCGCCTTTGAGGAGTAAGCCGGATGTACCGCACAAGGTTATGGAGCCGGCCTAAACATCCAAACTTCTTCCACAGCTCCTCTACCTTCACGTAATCTCCGCGCTGGTGGTGCTTTTCAAGCTTCGCCAAATGCTTCTCACAATTTCGACCCATGAGAAACGCCTGGCAGCAGAGGTTGACAATGTGACCCAAGCAGCGCAGTCGGCGATGGCGACGCTGTTGCGGCTTCATCCATGGGCAGAGCTCCTTGAGTATAAACTCAACAGCGGTATCATTGGATGAAGCATTGTCCAGCATGAAGTATCCAATCTGATCTCCGCCAATGTCATATTCCGTCAATAATTCGAGAACGGTCGACCCAAGATTCTCGCCACTGTGCTCGCCATGAACGCGTCGCATGCCCAGGACGGTACTTCGTCGCTTGCCGGTGGCGTCAATCCACATGGCGACGACACCCAGGATTGCGTACGGGTTTGGCGAGGTCCAGAGGTCGAAGGAGATGGAGATTCTACTCCGCGACCGCTGGAGGTCCTCTTTCAGCTGTTGCTTCTTCGACAGGAAGGCATCCATAACCCAACCTCGAATTGTTTTCGCAGCCTTTGGGAGGTGATTAAGTAGAGCAGGGTTCAGAAAGAAGAGTAGCTCTCGGAAGTACTGGTTCTCCAACTGGAAGAAAGCAATATGGCAGTACACAACCCAACGAATCAAAAGCTCTTTGAACCTCTCAACGGTATCTTTCCAGAAAAATTGCTACTAGCAGCTGCGCTTTCTGTTGCTCCAATACAGACGCCCGTGTCGCACCGCGTTTCCTCAGGCCGCTTTGTGGATCAATCTGGTGCCTCTGTTCGAGATGATTTCTCACTCCCGACGTGCCATTGATCACAAATAACTCTTGCTTATACTTTCCGATCGCACATTCGTGACAGTAGTATACCTCTTTCTTGTCACTGTCTCGGATGTAATGAAGACCGTACTTCCACACATGCGACGAGCCGAGACGAGCTGCCTTCTTCGTCGTCGTCGCGCGACGCAGGTACGTGACATGGTCTTGTACGAATTCGTCCGGAGGCTCAGGATAACGGACAGAATTAGACGATGGCGTCGTAGCGGAAAAGTGTGGCGCGGGACACGATGCAGGAGATCTGGAGCGGATTGATGCTGAACTTGTCGTAAACGAAGATGGCGAGGTTGGCGCTGGAGATTCCATGATCATGACATACACCAGTTAAGGTATGGTCACTATGGTGGCTTTCGATCATTCGATCTTGGTCCATCGTCCAACTAGCCTAACGTAAAAATTTTCGGGCTCCAACATCACGGAAGTAATTCGATTGAAAGGATCATTTAAGCTTTCCTGTCCCTGAAAGGATCATTTAAGCTTTTCCTGTCCCTCCGACGACGCGATTGACAAGTCTGGCCAGTGATACGTTAGGTCATGCTCCGTCCTACATGGAAGAACTCATAAAACTGGGTGCAATGAGAAGTACTTTCTAATACGCACTAACACTAGCCTTACCTTCGTGCCTTCCTGGGATAGCTACCCGGCAGCAAAGACGAAAAGCATCCGTTCGGTGCCGGATCGACCTGACCAAGGTAGCCAGGTCGATATTGTGAGGATGATGGTATTCATGATTGAATGGAGTAGATAAACTGGCAGAAAACTGGTCAATAAGCCCTACAGATGACACTGGAATCATCGCCGCTCGGATTCTGCCTGGTCATTCTCCGCAGTGAGCCTCTCACCTGAGCTTATTTTTAGCGTTACTGGTATTGATCCGGTATACCGGTAATACCATGGTATCAAGTTTTTGTCAAACCATACCAGGTCTTGGCGGTATTTACCATACCAATACCAACTCATACCGGACCATTCCGATCACTGTACGGTGTGGTATGGATTTATTTCGCCCGGAGGATACTTCCCATAGGGCCTACTAGGGGAGACTAAAATTCGTCCCTCATCCCCCTCCTGGACCTAGTAAGTGAAGTTGGTCCAATTTGTATGGAGCGGCAACATTTTTGCAGAGCAAAAGGGGGTGAGCAAAAGGGGGGGTAAGGATGTGTTGAAGTGGGTCATCAGAAACCCTGAACCCCTGAAAGGCTCTCTGAGGAGCCTCTGACACTAGCTTGGAAGTGATATATTAAGGTGGCATTTCTCTGTATTTACTCACAGATTTCTTTAACCTTCAATGAACACTTCATCCGCTACACAGCCTTCAACAGGTTATGAGCCCGGGAGGCCAACTGCAAAGAGATGAGTTTGACCAAACAGCTTAATCACACAGCTAACTACACAGCAAGCACAGCAGCACGATAACCGCAAAGATCCTATAGGCTCTCGAGCCTCTTCCACTGCGCACCATGACAGTCACCTCTCTCTGCACATACATACAAATCGAATCTGCTATCACGAAGCTGAAATCGACACAATCTCCCCCTTTTACGACTGTGCCGAATACACCCAGGAGCCACATTGACCCAATCCTCCTACAATTCCTAACACTACTGATCTCGCAGGGGCTGAAATTTGAAGGTGTGCATAAGAAAAGGGTAGTGGCTGAAACCAAGGGAAAATGGTCCCATCCAAGGATCCGCGATGTGTCAAGTGCAAAGGCATCGTCCTCAGCAGCCCGCTCGCCTCCTCCACAAGACACAGAGCCCTTTGCCAGCCCAACACACTTCGTCTTCCTTATAGCTAGCAAGCGTACGGTCAAGAAGCACGTGCTGCAAAGCATCCTCAGCAGCAACGACGAGCACGTCCAACTCCTCAGGCAGCAGCCTCTCGATGTCCAGCGTCACTGGGATCCTCAAGCTGTCTTCACAAACCGGATGGATCACCTGGAACGGGAGATCAGGGACCTGCTAACCGTGGCAGGGTACGGAGACCTTCTTCCGGGCGGTAGGAAAGCCGTCCAGCCAGCCCAGCGAGACGAAGAGTCAGAAAACGTCTTCGAAGATAGGCTTGAAATCTGGCTAGACAGACAGACCAGGGTTAAAGCAGTCCTCTGCAACCGACTTAGCTTTCTAGCCCGTGAGGATGTCAAGCACCTAGAAACGGCCGCGCAGATCCTCCAAGCCATCGAGGCGCGCTACAAGCCCAGTGGCAGCGCTTGCTTCCAGGAGCTGGATAAGAAGTACATGGACCTGACTCTCGATGTCTGTACTGATGTCATGGACTTCGCCGAAAAACTCCGACAAGCCCGCTCAGAGCTGCTAGAGCTCGACGTCTCTTGTCAAATCGGGGAACCCCAGTTCATCAGCAAGTTCCTCACAGGGCTAGGTCCAGCCTACGAGGTGTTTCTCACAGCATTCTATCAGCAACACAACCTGCTGCCAAAGAGGGACCTTGCTGGAGCGGTCAAAAGACCAGCAGTCTCCTTCGAAGAAGCCATCGCCGCTGCTGAACACGAAGAACAGAGCCAGAAGCAACGAGGCGCCACCGCCGGTCAAGCTCTTGCCATGACTCGGAGAGACAGAGACGTGCCCGTCTGCACCCACTGCAAAAGGAAAGGACACACCGTGGATAAGTGCTTTAGAGTCCATCCAGAGCTCAAGGCCGACTTCGACAAGAGACATGCAGAGAGACTCAAAAAGAAACAGGATCATCGCGGCAGGCAGGAGCCCACTACATCTTCCACTACACCTTCCATCACAGATATCCAGACCGCCCTAGCCTACTTGCAAGGTCAAGCCAATGACCAACCACAGTCGCAGTCACAGGCTCTTGCCAACCTCGCTATGCCCCGTTTCACCTTCCCATGCACGATACACCTCGCCCCTCCTGGTGCTGCCAATCCAGTGGGAGTGCGTGATGATCTGGATCCGGCAGCACTGGCCGCTCAGCACACGCTGCTTTCACAGATCCACATCCTCGACACAGGCGCCTCACAGCACATCTTCTGCCGCCGAGGCAAATTCGGGCCCCTTGCTCCGTACACTGGTCTTCCCTACGCAGGGGCCAAGGGAGCCCAATTCCTGCCCATGGGCGCCGGCAGCTATGACCTGCCAGTGAAGGTCTGTGGGAAAGACCACATGCTGACCTTCCAAGACGCCCTCTGTGCCCCTGACGCAGGCGTCAACCTGGTGTCCGTCACAGCTCTCGGCAAGCAGGGGTGCTGGATCCTTGGCAATGGCGAGCACGCTGCCATCGTTAAAGGCGGCCAGATTGTGCTGACGGCCACTGTGGCTAATGGTGTCTACGTGATTGACGAGCCAAACAGAGACATCAACGCCGCACTGGCTAGCCTGCGTACTCGGGATCCTGACCTGACCTTCTGGAACGAAGCTACTGATGAAATCAGGCGTCATAGCAACCTTTCTGTCGTCAGCAGCGACCCAGCTGCCCTCGTCACCTCGCAGGTCCAAGATCCCAACCTACGCATCTGGCACGAGAGACTGGCCCACCTCAGCGAGCGCAACATCAAGAGGCTGCAAGGGATGTCCACTGGTCTGCGACCCCAATCGCCACAAGACCCGTGCGAGGCCTGCGCTATTGGCAAGATCAAGGAAGGATCTCATAGGCACTCTATTCGAAAGGGAACCTGGCCGCTAGAAAGTCTGCATATTGACATCTGTGGGCCGTTTCCGGACACTGGATACGACGGCAGCAGATACTGGGTGGCCATCCTAGACGACTACACTCAGTACGGATGGACCTTTAGCGTGGCCACCAAAGACAGCCTCTTCCCGATCTTCCAGGCGTTCCTTCAGAAGCATGAGACGCCTACCAGGCGATGCCTCTACGTGCGGATGGACCTAGGAGGTGAAAATCGCTCCACGCTGCTAGATGCCTTCTGCACCGACAAGGCGATCGAAGTCATCTACGCCGCCACGGAACAGCACCAGCAAAACGGGGCCATTGAGGTCTTCCATAGGGTCCTAAGCGAGAAGCTCAACCCTACGCTAATTCGGTCCGGCCTCGAGCGCAAATGGTGGCCCTACGTACTCCAGAGCATCACCTACGTCCGCAACTTGTCTCCTACAGCCAAGTTACCTACCACACCGTACGAAGCCTGGCACGGCGAAAAACCTGATGTTACCCATCTTCGAGTCATCGGATCAAAAGGCTGGGCACTACTGCCAGCAGCCAAACGCAGGAAGCTGCAGCCTAAGGGTATCCCGTGCAGAATGCTGGGGTACCAAGGGCACTGTAACTACATCCTGCTTGATAGCAGCAACAGGGTCTTCGTGTCTCCCAACGTCATCTTTGTCGAACACGTCGCCAAGCCTACGGTCTCTGAAAGACAGCCCAAGAGGCCCAAGACTGGCCAAAGCCTTGGCCAGCTGATCCGGGAGGAAGGCCAGCAAGCCGAATGTCCGCCTCGGACACTTCGCAACGGCAACAATACAACAGCCGACACCGCGTCTCTCTACACACCAGCAACTTCCACAGCGCTCTCGCCCGAGCCTGAAGATAGCCAAACCTCAGATTCCACGCGAGACCTGTCTGACAGCTCTGAAGACAACATAGTGTCCCATAGAGACGAGTCGGACGACAGTGCCCTGCTCGACCTGCTGGAAGAGACAAGCCCCGAACCATCTGTTTACTCAACTATCCATGCCGCTGCTGATCCGATCAGGCCGTCGGTCAGAAGGTCCACCAGACAAAGAGTTCCCCCTCTGCGCTATGGCTATAATTTCGATCACGCCTTCGCAATGGCTATGGCCATCTCACAGCAATGGGAAGACCACGAGCCCCTTGCCTTCAAACAGGCCATGCAGTCAGATAGCGCCAAGAACTGGCACGCCGCTATGGCGGACGAAATCCAGTCCCTGCAGGTCAACAAGACCTGGGAGCTCACTGACCTCCCGCCAGGCAGGAAGGCCCTACGAGGGAAGTGGGTTTATAGGCTGAAAAGAGGGACCGACGGCCAAATCGTCCGCCATAAGGCCAGATTCGTTGCAAAGGGCTACGAGCAACAGGAAGGCATCGACTATAGCGAAACCTTCGCCTCAGTGGTCAGGCCAGAAAGCTACAGAACAATTTTCGCCATAGCCGCCGCTGAAGACCTAGAGATCGAGCAAATGGATGTCAAGACCGCTTTCCTCTACGGGGACATCGACGAAGAAGTCTACCTCGAGCAGCCAGAGGGCTTCGAAGACGGCACTGGCCGCGTCTGCAGGCTCAAGAAGGCCATCTATGGGCTCAAGCAGGCGCCTCGCATCTGGTTCCACACCATCACCAAGTTTCTTGAGACACTAGGCTACAGGCCCATTGCGGCAGACGTCAGCGTCTTCGTCCGTGGCAAGAGCATCATTGCAATCTACGTCGACGACCTACTTCTCACTGGAGCCTGTCCTCGGAGGTCCAACGGATCAAGGATGCCCTCAGCAAACGCTTCCAGATGACTGACCTAGGTCCCTGCTCCCATTACCTAGGCATTAAAGTCACTAGAGATAGGGCCAGGCGTCGGATCGAACTGTCCCAGCGAGCCTACATTGAAAAGATCCTGGGACCTACAACATGTCAGACTGCAACCCAACGGACACCCCTATGGCCGCAGATCAGCTCCAACCACCCGCAGAGGACTGGCACGCCCTCCCAAGGACCAGGCCGCCTATGCCAAGAGGGTAGGCTCACTGATGTATGCGATGCTCGGCACTAGGAGCGATATCTGCTTCTCCGTTGGCGCCTGCTGCAGACACCTTGCCAACCCAACGTCTCAGCACCAGACAGCTGTGAAACGCATCATGAGATATCTTAAGGGCACCATTGACTATGTGCTAGTCTTAGAGGGACCACTGCAGCCGATCCAAGGCTACACTGACGCAGACTTCGCGGCGGACCTGCACACCCGACGATCGACGTCAGGCTTCTTCTACAGCCTCGGCTCAGCAGCCATCAGCTGGACCTCCAAGAGGCAGCCCTGTGTCACGCTCTCATCCACAGAGGCCGAATACGTGGCTCTGACCCAGTCAGCCCAGGAGGCCATCTGGCTGCGTTCCCAATGAAGGACCTAAGCCACCCACAGGCTGTGCCAACAGCCATACACGAGGACAACAAGGGCGCTATAGATCTGGCCAACAACCTCAGCACCACTCGCACTAAGCATATCTCTCTTAAGTGGCACTTCATCCGAGAGAAGGTTGCAGAAGGGACCGTCAGCCTTATCAAGATCGAAGGCACCAAGCAGCCTGCTGATGGGCTCACCAAGGCCCTGCCACGAGATGCCTTCCTCCGTTTCCGGGACTCTCTAGGCGTCAAGTCCGATTAGAAGCACCACACTGCTCAGCCTCTAATCGAGTGGGAGTGTCACAGGCATCTTCGGCCCTCCTTAGGCACTCAAGCCTCTACACACTGACGGAGCTCTGAGGCCACTCCGCGAGATCAATCTGGCCCTCCCTTGGCGAAGACCCTTCTGCAAGAAGGCAGCCACACTGACGGAGCTCTGAGGCCACTCCGCGAGATCAATCTGGCCCTCCATTGGCGAAGACCCTTCTGCAAGAAGGCAGCCACACTGACGGAGCTCTGATGGCCACTCCGCGAGATCAATCTGGTCATCCCTCCGCAGTCCACGCGTTGCAAGCAACGAACCCGTAGGCGCGCTATTTCCCTGTGTTTTTTACCCACGAAGGTGATTTTGGGTTTTAGCGAGGGCCTAGACGGGACTATCGTTGCCGCTGCACGGCACCTTGACTGTCTGACAGAGCCGCCCTTCAAGCGAGTTTGAGGTGGGTCATCCGGACCCCTGAAAGGCGCTCCCAGGGGGTTCTGTCAGCCGCTTGGAAGTGGCATATTAAGGAGGTCACCCCCATTAAGGGTCATTACTATTTCACGTTACCTAAAGTGGCGCACTCTTTCCCAATATTTTTCACCCATAAAGAGGTGTTTTTTGGGTTTTAGCGAGGGCCCTAGGAAACAGCACACTGCTGCACAGCACCTTCGCCTGTCTGTCAGAGCCGTCCTCAGAGCGAGTGGGAGTGTTGAAGTGGGTCATCAGAAACCCTGAACCCCTGAAAGGCTCTCTGAGGAGCCTCTGACACTAGCTTGGAAGTGATATATTAAGGTGGCATTTCTCTGTATTTACTCACAGATTTCTTTAACCTTCAATGAACACTTCATCCGCTACACAGCCTTCAACAGGATGGTAGCTTGTATAAGAGCTCGTATCATCAACGAAAACCATCGCAGGTTACAGTACAGTAAGAGGTTGTGGTGTATTGACTGCTCTGAAGCGATTGTTCCATCTCTCCAAAAAGGCGACTTCTTATAGTTCTGTCACTTGTGGCTGCCTTCGAGTGGCGATGTCACTACCCAGGCTGCCTAGATGACGTTGTCATCAGAAGGTTCGATGCCACTGCTTAACAACGACGTTATTCTGCTGACGACCCCTGACACGTGACAGCCGACTTGTTGAGTGACTCAAGCATTTAATCGGAAGTCATAGGCTCCTTTGGTTCTCCCAGGATCGGAGCATCCTTTTCGATATTGACAAAGTCAAAGACCTTGGAAGTCTCAGCCCTTGAGACGAAATCATCGTACTAGGAAGCCCATTCGGACGGTCTAGAGAGCGTGACTTCAGACTTGGCTGTCATCTTGGGAAAGCCTTTGGTGTTGGGAAATTGGCAGCAAGGAGGGACAGAACGATTGGCGCAAGCAAGCAGACAAGAGCGGCAGGGTTTGTATCCCCTGAGTGATGTGTGCGTGTGGCGATAGGCACCGTGCGAACGATCTTGCACGATCCCTTTGACTGCGTGAAGGCCGGTCAGGGGTCACGAGCCCCACAATACGTAGCTACATGTCATATACGCATTCAGGGGCTAGGTCCCTCCCCTCAGGTGTGCCACTAAATAGGTGTGGCAGCTGACTAATTGGAAAGTCTCTCAACACGAGTTCTGCGAATGACAATAAAGTGGGGCGTGGCACGGGTAGCTTAACCTTATATTCTGCCTTCTAGAAGCACTTTGTGGTGGGACCGCTACAGGTTCGCGTCCGTGCGAGCCGCTGTCGTTTGAGACTAGCGATGGGATACGGTCGCACATTAGGCAAGGTTGGCAAAAACCGCACCAAAAAAAAAGGCTCTCTACCCCTCAATCCCTCAGCCCATCAATCCCTCGAGACACCTTCGTCAATTGAAGCCTCTGTATTTCCACATCTACGATAAACGATGCCTAAACGCAGGCTGGACCTTGAGCCCTTTCGGGCTCACATCAATGAGCTCTTTCTGTTAAAGTCCACGCAGCAGGAAATGCTGCAGTCATTGAACAATCTTCTTGTTAGCCAAGGCTCCCCGACAGTCGGCTTGCGGCTCTTTCAGACTCAACTTGCAGACTGGGGACTGTCTCGTCAAGTACAGCTTGATGACCTATCCGAAGATATCGTTGAGATGCACGACTCTGGATTTACACACCAAGCTATCCAGGCTCAGGTCAATGACATCCTTCGTGCAAGAGGCAGGCCGGAGATCTCGCCACGCTCGCTAAGGAGCTATCTGGCTACTTCGGGACTTTCACGGCATAGCCACGCCCATGTCTCTGAAGAGCTTATTGAACGAGTTCGCTTTTACTTCTATGCATACGGCTATAGTGACTCTTCAATCCTTCGTGACTTGCAAGCCAAGGATGGAATGACGGTATCCCTTTTTACAGTCGTACGCGCTCGACTGCAAAATGGAATGAAACGCCGTTTAGGCACGCAAGAGGAACAGCAAGCGGCCCTTTGTGCGGCAATTGAATTCCTCGAAAGGGACCTCCAACAGACACCTGCGGTTCGTTCATTTGGCAGAGGCTATCTGTACAACTATGTTCGATTAAAGGGTGGCGTCTTAGTATCACAGAACCGTCTCTATGACTTCTATCGTTCAGTCTTTCCTGAAGAAGTCCAAAGGCGCCGCGAGGGCAACTTCAAGCACCGTACCGACTTTACTGTGCCGGGACCAAACTTCCTTTGGTGCCTCGATGGGTACGAGAAGCTCAAGTGCTTCGGCTTTCAAGTCTACGCTTGCATTGATGCATACTCGCGTTGCATTATCTGGTTCTTCTTAGGAAGATCAGCGACTACAGCTTTAAGCACACTAAAGCAGTATCTTGTCGCTGTACAGCGTCTTGGAATGCGCCCATTTTTCACTCGTTGCGATTGTCACGGGCTGTGCCCGGCTTGGTGGACCCGGTTGTACCGGGTCCGGTGGGTCGTGCTCGGGTGGCAGTACCGGCCCCGCTCCGCGGACCCAGAAGCTGCGAGAACATTCTGTGAAGGGCAATATAAGCTCGCACTCGAGGCTACGCCTCGAGTTCGGCTTCCTTTCCTCCTTAGCTCTAGATAGACAACACATAGGCACCTGCTAGTTGAACAAACTCCGGGCCAGCCTCTTACAAAAAGTGAGATGCACATCCCAGCATGTCACACATGGACCAACGGCCATAACGACCACTTGCACAGCGCCCTTCGGAGCGCGTTCCACTTTTGCCTGTCTGCATAGTGTAACACAGCAGCTGCGGCTACTAGAACAGCTGATATGGCTTGTCGCTTGGTGCAACAACTACAGTTAACACCACGTCTCACAGGAACGCAACGATCCCGGTGTAAAGCTATTTGCCATTTCGGTCCTCTGGTTCTCTTGCGGCAACTTAGGGCCGAAACCAGCTCTCTATTTGTGGTGCTGTGGCAGATGAATGCAAAGGCGAATCTCGTAATGCAACCATCTGCGCCAAGGTGCTACCGGTAATAATAGCTGTATGCCTTGACTCGGAAGCACAATTTCTCGCGAAGGAGAGATCAAAAGTGGGCATAGAAGTGAATAAAGGGACTTTTCATAGGTAGATTCCCAGATGATCTGATAGTCTGTGATTTCCATGTGTTCTTTATCCGTCTAACCCTCCCCTTTTATATCCCTCTATGCCTTCCCTAAGTTAATATCCCGTTTTCAGGTATAGTATACATTCTATCAGGAAGAGGGCACTTCTTGCCTCTTACTGAAGGCCACGTAAGTCATCTATGTCAGCACATTCAGCTCGATCTCCCCGATCAATAGCTTTGCAAGCTATTAGGTCGATAGTTTAATCTCTTGAGGTCCCCGAGCCAGTAAAAGTTATGCCGGACTCCTCAAAGGGTCCCCGTTCGAATAGGAGATCCTCCGGACCCCTCAGTGGTCTAGGAAGAAGAAACAACAGTCTGCAGACTTCCCTTCTTACCTGGTTTCAAGCTGTATTACCTAGAGAGACCTAGAGACCTCAACTCGTTCGGACCTTCTTCTCGACAAGGACGTCGTCAACAGCCGCCACTACAGAAGCAGACCGATTGACTGGTGGAAGATCAACCGGAGCCGATATCCGCGACTGTCTCTGATGGCAGTAGACATGCTTACGATTCCATCGACGTCCGCGGAAAGCGAGAGGACGTTTAGCAGCGCAGGACGTATGACGGCACCATTGAGAAGCCGGCTGCGGAGGGAGATCGTAGCGATGGCTCAATGCATTCGATCGTGGAGTAAAGCTGGGATCTACAGGCCTTCACTGCCGCTGTTTAGCCTCAACGAGGATCAATGGATTGATGCTCTTGCGTCGCTGAAGGGGCGGAGTGACATTTAATCAGCTTGACAAGACAGCAATTGACCGTGCTTTCGACGTCTCATCTGCTGCAGCCATGATGTCTTTACACCCCTTGGCACTTCTTAAATCGAGGGATGTAGGAGTCCTCGTGATGGTGACAAAGACATGTATGATGTCGGTGAAACGCACGTTTGGTACCCCAATCTCTGCTGAAGTCCTACGTTCGATCGAATTCGATACGAATTCGATCGAACCTTGGCATTCGATAGGTATCGAATCTACGGGACACGCGTTCGATTCGAGTCGAATCAAACGGGCAAGAAATTTCACGCGTTCGATTCGATGCGAATCTACTGGGGACACATTCGATTCGATGCGAATCTGCTGGAGCCATGTTCGATTCGATGCGAATCTGCAGAGGCCCTATTCGATTCGAACGCCAAGTCTTGGCGTTCGATTCGATAGATTCGTAAGATGTCCGTCCCTGACACCAGAAGCAGCGCTCCTAATAGTGTGGACCATTAAGAGGACTAAAATACTTCGAACACCCGTTAAGTTGCCAATGCAAGGGGCTTAACGGCTGAATATCCAGCCCGAAGGGTGAACATCGTATACCTGCAATTCAACTTTCCTAGGGGGGGACCCCCTAGAACCCCCCTTTCGCCTGCAGCGGCCATCCAGCCGTTTAAACCGCTCCTTGACTGGCCCAATCTAACTATATACCTATATCGAACCTCCCCTTCCTGTAGCTTATAGGAAGACGTCGTTTAGTCAAGGTAGAGTGGTGGATACGGTGCATCGCTCAGCTGTTGACCCTGACGCCGTTGTTGGTCAGCGAGGCGCATCTTCATCCCTGCCTTAGCCTTTGTAGTTAGCCGTAAACGCAGCACGTAGGGAGACAGGCTTATAAACCTTCCGTCGGCGTGTGGTTATAGAGGCTCTGACGATCGAAAGGCGCCTCAAGGAGTAAGCCTTGCAGCGACGTAACCCGTGACACAGCAACATAGCTAATACCGGCCTGGAAGTCGCGTGTAGCGAGATCAGTAACTATTTGATCCTTAGTTAGGCTCTGGCATTTGTGAACAGTGATAGCAAACGCCACCATCAGGAAACTGCGTGCGAGCGCAGGTCTCGTTGCCCACTAGGAAATCACGCCTGACTGGGAGGATGGGTGAGATTTTCCTGCCCTCGTTAGTTGTTAGATATGGCGGTCCGTCGTAGCTATCAAAGTCCACCATAATAACGGCCGGGGGATCTTCCAATGGCTCGGCGCCTGCGTTCCAGGCGATATCGTATACAGTACCCTGAGCACCGTTAACTAGGCCAGCTGGCTGCCATAGGTTAGTAGTGAGCATTACCCTGGCGCCCTTAGCAACAGGGAACTTGTTAGATAGATTGCCAGCATTGTCGCTTGGTGCCTGCCCCGCGCCCTTGCCCTGATTCTTTGCCTCCACCTGTACTGCCGGGGCGTTGAGATGCACCATATGCTCGTAGTTGTATTCGTTGACCCGGGCCCTTGTAGAATACACCCGCAAAGCGGCCCTGAAGCTGTCAACCTCGCTCTGCGTTAGCCTGGCCTGTACCCGACTGCTAAGGAGGTTCCAGGACGGTATGGATAACTTGACTTCACGCAGTTCCTGCAACGCCTGACGGAACTGAGCCTGGTCATCACCAGCCTGGCGCTGTACCGTGGTCAGGAAGACGGTGCGGTCAAATAACCGGTAGGCCACATGCCCTCTCCTTTCCAACGAAGACAGGCTGGTGCTAGTCGAATACAGGGGCTTTTGCCGGACTGGTGGTAACTGGAAGAAATCGCCCACAAGCAAGACGCTCACACCACCGAAGAACTCGAGGCTACGCTGTGGAAAGGCCTGTCGCAGACGGGAATCGATCCGCGCGAGCTGCTCAATCCCAGCATGCTCTTTTCATCGATAACGAGGTATTTGACGTGCCGTAGGCGGGACTGAAGGGCGGCTGCGTCGGCTGGGGGAAGGTCGGTAAAAGCACCACCTACTGGGAGGCGTAGCAATGAATGAATGGTGCTGCCCGTATCTGGTTACTCGCAACGCCTGTTGGCGCTACGCGGCAAATAGGGCTAGGATTCGGTAGAGCGGCCGCCTGAAGATGGGAGGAAAGCACCTTGATAAGGAACGACTTGCCGGTGCCACCACCACCATCAACGTGGAGAAGGATTTGAGTAGGATTTTTCGCCTGGAAGTGACCCATGAATGTGTCGTACACGAGCCGTTGTTGCGGATTCAGCGTATTACGCCAGTGAGGGCCAAGGACCTCCACATCGTTGGCCATGGGGTGGCTAGCGATAAGGTCTTTCCAGTAGCCGTCTCGAAGTTCCGGATATGTACCCACATGCCGTGTCCAGTCGTAATTGACATCGATATCACGGCGGCCAAGAAGGTCAAGATCTTCCTGGGTAAGGGGGTTCCCAGGTAAAAGGGCGGCGAGGCGAATCCAGTCTTCGTCATCAAATTCTTCCTCCACAGGCAGAGCCTCATATTGATCATCTTGGGGATGTAATCGAGCCTCTTTTGGCCGACCGTAATGGTCATCACCATGACTGTGGTGCTGCCAACAATAGGAGAAGGCCTCAGCGTGAGAACCAAAAAGCTGGCCGTCAAATGTGAGGAGATCATCAACCCGCCGATGTGGGTGGTTTAATGTTAGCTTTACACGGCAGTAATCTGGCCACTGTTGACCTTCTGGATCAGCCTGATAGCGAGGAAAGTAAACCAACACACGAGGTCTGCCGTTAACGTTGACTGGCTGCCATTGCTTCCACTTGGAAGGGTCCCTAGGACGGATATTCCAGCACTTGAGGAAGGAGACGTAGCTTAGGTCCGCTAGGGCTTCCGGGCGTTGAGTGTACTTTTCGTAAACATTGGGGGCCTCGTCCACCTCATCGCCGTCAATACGGAGGAGCGGGAATGCCTGTCAGGATTACGGCAAACGTACAGGCAGGTTCGTGAGCCTTCCTGTAACGGCAGGCCGAGGAGCAAGTGGCTGACCTCCTGCTTCGAGTAATCCCGCTCAGCAACCAGCTGATTGAGGAGCTTTGACGTGAAAGAAATAAGGGGGTTGTGGTCCTTGACCCGGGGCATCAGGGCCTTCCCGATCTGGGCAAAAGACTCGCTCTTCTTTTCCGACTTGGAGCAGTATTTGGCCGCGTAATCGATTACCTGCTGGAGGCTCGTGCAGGGCGAAACATCTGTATTGGCTAGCCACGCAACGGTAAGCAAGCGGTTGTAGTGGTTAATCTGGCCATCGTTCCTCTCGCCCCTGAAGTTCCAGTGCTTAGAATGAGGAACCTTGTCAAGGGAGGCTAGCAGGCGCTGTCCGTGAGGAAATCCAAAGCGGCACTCCACCTGCTTGGTATGCTTATTGAGCTGCATACAGTAGTTGTTGCAGCGGTGGCGTTGCACGCGGTTGACCACCATTGATAGGAACTGAACCGTAAGGGCTGCTCCAATAGATTGCCGATCAGGGATTCCCTTCCCAGGCGCCTGTATTCGCTGAGGCTCTGGGTTGACAGCAGATACGTGATATCCCCAGATGCGGGTGAATTGCTCCCGGACTGATCGTTGTCAGGATCTAAGTCTGGGTGGCCACTTAGCCAATATAGGCCGTGGTGGTGACTGGACCCCTGCCCTGCCACTCGTAACGGCCCCAAAGTCCGTTAGGTTGAACTTCTGCTTCAGGACAATAGTCCTAAACAGCGTATAACGCTTATGGAAGTGGTAAGCGGCGATGTGGGCGTTGTCTCGCAGTAGTTGCCGGGACAGGACCATGCGCGCCGCCTCAGGAGCTGCTTTCCACTCTTGGAGTCGAGGCATGTGACGATATAGGGACTCCCAGTGGTAATCGGCCGCACTTGCAGTAACGAAAAGGCCAGGTCTGCCCAGATTGTAGGCATATGCTTCCAATTCCTTTCTTTGCTTATACCAATACGGCCGGGTGCCCCTGATTACCGCGGCTTGGCGCGTGATCGACTGGATCAGGTCCTGAGCCTCTGGCTCGTCAGGCTCAGCCATCGCTTCCTCTAGGTCAGCGCGTGTAAGGGGTTGACGGCGGCTGTCGCGTTGCTTGACGAAGTAGTCACTTCGCTTTCGGACCTGCGCACGTAACAGCGTGTTGAGGGCGACGAAAGGCCACGTCTTATGGCGGGCAAAACGTCCGTCATGCCATCTCATCGCATGGCCAAGGTAGTCCTGGTACGTGATGCTCCGTAGGCGAGGCTCCACGAAGTCGGCCTTGCCGTCAGGGTAGAGGGTAGGGAACGCGAGCGTTAGCAGCGGCTGGGAACGGTTGAATTCGTCGATAGGGTTCTGCGAATGGAAGGCAGCGGCATCCGGTGGAGAGTTTGCGCTACGCGGCATATACTCCAGATCAGTCATGCGCTCAGGGTTAGGGGTACCATCAAGAAATCGGGACTGCAGAGCGTTCAATTCGGTATCGGAAACTTGCAAATTCGGGATCGCTGATGCGTCGGCGTCGCTAGGATCCTCTTCCACAGCCTCCTCAACGGGGCCTTGGGGGACCTCGCCGTCAGGTATGTCAGCCACTTGGCTGGCAATGGAAGCAACTATGTTGCCATCAAGAGGAAGCCGGTGCAGGCGATCCTGACTCACGGCGATATCGCGATAGCCCGGGTGGTGGCGTTGTAGGTAATGCAGCCAGGCCAACAGGCATGAGCGGCGTACCCGGAAATCGCGAGCAAACTGTTGCCGGAAGCGAGGGTCGCCCTCCATATTAGGAGGCCGCAGGAGGACGATATCTAGCTCTTCAGGTAGGACTGGGAGCTCTTCAAATAGCCTGCCAACATTGCGAAGGAAGTGGACAACGTGACCGCGATATTTATATTGAGCGCCACGTACCTGCAGGACCTTCACGTGTACGTGAACCCTAGCAATGAGCATCTCCTCGACCATTGTTAGATCAGGTAGATTGCCGGGGACTTCCCCGAAGTCAAGGTTGTTCGCAGCGCTAAAGAAGTAGGGCTCGTGAGGGGCTTTCTTCCTGTCTCGACCAATGCAGCGGCTGCAGATTTTCAAGCTATTTCGCTTCATATCGAACCAACGCTCCTGGCAACGAATACAACTATGCATCTTGTCGTCATTCAGCGCAGTATAGAACTCCCTCACAAGAGCTTGATCTTCCTCACTAAGGGCAGGCAAGTTAAGGTCACCTGTAAAAAGCGGATCAATACTCTGATCAAACTGTCGCGCTTGAGGCTGTGTGCCTTGACGAGTATAACGGCCGCGGCGATGACACTGTGGCAATAATGAAGGAGTGGTAGGAAGCGATTCCTGTGGTACAGGGTGCCTTGCACAACAGGTGCCGTAGAAGCAGTGTCTTGAATCGGCGTGCCCAGAACTACTGTTGGCAGGACATGGGTAGGAGGGATAGGGAAGGTCCCCAACAGCACTTAGGGTAGATGGCCCCAGCGGAGGTATAGGCAGTCCCAGTGCAGGCGCCTGGCCACGGAATAAAGCAGGCATGACAGGAGGTTGTAGGCCGTTCACAGACGCAGGCGTTGGCGCAGTCCGCTTTGGAGGCGTCAGGTTAGCTAGCGAATCCGTCCTCTTCCTGGCTCTGCGTGGCGATAGCCTCAAGGCGATATTCCGCATTGCGGCAACGGCGGCTCGAGATTCGGTTACCCGTTCCTTTCGGCGTGCCTTACAGCTAGCACAGTCTCTTGTAAACTTCGTAGGGTCCTTGACGCTTCGAAATTCGACTTCGGGCAGGTATTGCTTGCAGGTATGGCAGTTCCGAACCGCCTGGGGTATATCGTCCTCCATCTGGCTGTATATGTATCCACACCATAAACACCTAGACTGCTCGATTTCGCTCGGGCAGGAGGCTTTGCGACGTCCTACGTGTAATACCGTGATAGATCTCGATGGGAGGCTGTCTTTCAGGTAATTAGATCAGGTCTGAATGATCAGGAGGAAACTGCACTGCTTCCGGAGACAGGGTAGCCAGGAATCTTGAGAGGTAGGCCGGCAGCCGGAGGTCATGTGTGAGCCTAGATACCGTTAGCAAACTGATGGGTTTGACAGGTTCGACAGAAAGGAGCAGCCGCCATGTAGTTTAGTGTAAGGAGTATGGGGCACGGGGGCTATTCAGTCAAAATCGTGCATAGCAACGCAACAAATTGACCGCATGGAAGAAAGGAAGAACTGAAAACTCCTGAAGAGCTTGCCAAGCAAGCTAGTTTCCTAGTCAACGCTCAGGGGTAGTTTTTGCGGGCCTTCCTTTGGTGACGTTATCAGTCGACCAATCCGCGCACGAGTTGAGCACGGGCCAGGCCAATTAGCCAATCAGAGGAGGTTTTATGCCTTGCTTTCTGACTGAGTAAACGCCCTTCGGTCTGAACGAGGGGAAGGCTCGCCAGCCGCGGCTCGCGCAAAGAGGCCTTTCGGAACGAAAGTTGGCGATGGCGACAGGAGAAAGTCGGCGAGAGGAGAGAGTTGGTGACAGGAGATAGGAGACAGGGGAAGTGAGAGGAAGACAGGAAGAAGAGTGAGATAAGAGATATGAGATGGAGATCCGGCGAGAGACGTAGAGCATTATCGTGAGTGAAATCGAGACAGAGCGTCAGAGAGGCAGCCTAGGCCGCTGCAAGGAGATTTTGCTTTGCAAAGGCGCAAAGGGCGTGGAGAGGCGGCAGGGGTGAAGAGAGTTGTGGGTGGGTAATGCATGTGTGGGCGAGTGGAAGGCTCTGAGGATTTACAGGTGCTATAAGTGGTGGATATAAACAGAATAAGGAGTATATTGGAGAAGTTTTGACTGGATTGTCTTTGTGAAAAGGAGAGCAAGAGGAGAATGAAATATCCCATTAGGGCCTGTCGCACTTGAGTTTGAGGATGATGAAACATGTTCCTTGTCATGTTGTGTTGTTTCGTTCGTTGCTTTACAGAATATTCTTGGGCGGATGTCGGGCGCGGTGCGGTCGGGAAGAGATTGACGCCGGAGGTCTGATAGGGCCAGAGGCGGATGTGGCTGGGTGATTGACTGGCTCGGTGTCCGTCTCTGAGTCTCCGGGTCTTCGTGGGACAGAAGGGAGGAAGTGTCGGATTTGGCGGGGCCTCGACTATCACAGGCCTCGACTATGGTGGAAATTTCTGGAGAAAGTCGCGGTCTCATGGTTGGGGTTTGGTCGGGATCGGGCAATGACCGCTTTGATGTCATCATAAGGATCGACTGACCTAGATGCAGGCGGCGGGGAGGCGCCGCTTGGGGCGGCCTTGCGTTTTTGGTAGAGGTAAACCTGGCCAACGCATCGCTATAGTCCGAGGGTTGCCGACTGAGCCCTTGGGTGTCGTCGGCAGTAGCTGTGTCGCAGAAGCCTGGTTGGACATGGCCCTGTCAAGGAAAGTCCATGTATCGGGGACGACGATGAAGATATAGTCTTGCTCGAAGGCCGGGGCATGTGTCATGATCTGGTGATCGAGTAAGCCGGCGATTTTGCCCGTGCAGGTGAGGAGAGCGTTCGGCTGGAACTGGCTATCGTGCCTCTCGGTCATCTTCTTGCATAGGGAGGTCCAAGGATTGGCGTGAATGGGAAGATGACGAAAAGTTGAAAGGGATGAAAGCCCTTGAAGGGTGTTTGCCCGGAATCCCAGGACAGATAAAGGTCGAGAGCTGGACAAAGCCGCAACAGCTCAGCTGGGTGTCGTCAAGGGCCGCAGCCGAGTTTCCATGCAGAAGGTCGCGGCCGGAACCGATGACAGGTCCCGTGAAGGAGACAATGGGTTGTATCGCTGGAAGGCATCCGCCGAGCCGAGGGTGCGAGGATGACTCTGTGGCCATCGTCAGAGATGGTAGTGGTGACGGAGGCCTGGAGCATACACCTACGGCTGGTAGCTGTGGTCGCGGACGATGAGAGCCGGGATGGTGTATTCTGTAATGTTGTCATCCTCCGACTCGAAGCTATCACGTCGCTCGATTTCCCACGTCAGGGCAAAGGGATGAACACGGCCGACCATAAAGAACCACTGCTCGGTCCATTCCGAGGGGATTATCTGTTGGTTGTATATGGAAATATTAAGGCTCAAGAAGATGCAGGTCGATGGATTGTCAGGATCTGACCGGATTGCTGCATACTCTGGAGTCGACAGCCATGAGGGCGTTGGAAGGAAGACCCTCGCTAGGGTTTCTGCGTTGAGCCCTTTGACACGATGCTCATTCTGGTAGGCGAACCTAGACGGGCAGCCGGGCTGGACAAAGGCCATCATGGACATGTCGGCGCCAGCATTTTCTGGCTGTCAAGAGGTTGCCGCGGGAGGACGAGGTATCGACGTCGAGCTGGGAGGCCGACATCGTGAGAACATGGCAGATGTAGTCACCGTGGAAGTGTAAAGGAGGGTTAGGCAGAGTAGAGGTAGGCATCCTATAAAGCAGGTTTTCTTGCTGCTCGAAAGAGGGCTCGCGGCTCGGGTCGGGGAGACTTGAGAGTCAATGAATGCTACCTAGGTGATAGATCAGAAGCGGGGGTATGCGGGAATGAGCTGGCGAGGTTCTCGAGCAGTCTCGACCATCTGGTTCTGTGGTCGTGAGTGAAGTAGGGAGCCGGGGGTTGGAAGTTGAGTAGGGGTGATGGCTATGTTGCGAGAAGTTGGAGGTCGGCGAACGGTAAGGTTAGTGTGGGTAAGACTGCGGAGAAAGAAAGTCCAGTAGTACCCTTCAGTGTCATCGTTGCATGGAGTAGATAGCAAAGGGGGCAATAACGAATGAGAGTGAAGGAAAGAAAGAGGTTATGGTAGTATTGCAGGACTCCCTTTTTGACGGTCGTCGGTAGTTGGATGGGCATTGCGTGCGGCTGAGCGAGGCGGGTGCCGACCGTGTCGAGTCTACTATTGGGACACGGTGAAGTCGGATATATGGGTCGACCTGAGGAGGAGGATGCGAGTTGGTCACGAGAACTTTCCAAGAGGGTTTGCAAGTCGAGACTCCGGTGGCTAGCGACTACAAGAGGACAGGCAGGGGGGTCCTGGCTATCGCTTTAGCATTAAGGCCGTTGATGCGACATTGGTGCTGGCGAGGGAGCAAATCTAGAAGGGTAGTCCGGCTGCATGAGGACGTCATGGACATGTTATCGCCGGCAGCCTTGTGGCTGTTGCTCGACGAGGCGGATTGGCGGGTATTGATGGTGAACTGATGCGCAAGGTTGGTAGGATGGTGTTGGAAGGGCTGAAGAGTATGGTTTGAAGTGTGCGGCAGGCGGTTGTCGCGGCCATCTCCATGTGCCGGAGGTCGGCAGTGGCCAGGGATTCGCTGGAGTGCGCAAAGAGAGCACGGCGATGGAAGGGTCGCTTTGGCAAAGCCGGGGTAGCAGGTCGCACGTGGAGACCAGGCGAGGCCGGGACGGTGGACGCACATAGATAGGCATGGTAACGGGGAATATAGAGGGTAGTATTGCATCGCCTCGGTACCATAGGGAAGCATTTTATAGGGAAGCTATAAGGAAGAAACGCCACGGCCATGAGGGAAGTGATGGTTAGGGAGCTTCCCATTCGGGAGAAGTAGCGTCGTCAACAAGCGAGACTGTCCAAGTGGAGGTGCTCCGGAGCCAAAGCTTTATAGCCTGTTGCCAATTTACGGCAGTCGACGTCGAGGAGGCAGCAGCATGGCGGACAGTCCTGCAGTGAAGTTAAGCGAGGCGGTTGCTCACCCTGAAGCCTGTTCGTTGTCAGTCGGGGATGGAGAAGAGGGTGAGAACGTGAGCGGGTCGGGTTCGGGGCTCGGAGATGGTGCGACAGGAGCCGGTGTAGATGTGGTGGCAGCTTCTGAGAGGGGCCGCAGAGCACGGGGGGAGAGCCTGGGACGGTTACGAAGATACGAATCACGGGCGAATGCGGCATCAACGTTCCGGCCGATTCAGCCTAGGAAACCTGTGGTTGAAGACACCGCATGGAGACAGCACGCAGAAGCAATTGCGAGGTCGTTGCCGAGAAGACCGCCGCGAGGCGGTTTGCGGTCAAACAGAGCACGGAAGTTCCATAATATGGTTAGCAGCGGAAGTTCCGCGCAACATCAGTCACCGGGTCAGCTTCCGAGGCCCCTGTTGCCTAGGGAACGTGGAGATATGGGGTAGCGGACTCTGATCGTCCGCTCCTCATCGGCACTTTCTGCCTCAGGAGGAGATCCTGAAGATGAGGAGCAACGTGTTACGGCGGCGGCGGGCGATGTCCCGAGTGTTCATTCGAAGGAGGTACCGAAGCTTCGATCCATCCAGCCTAGGGAACCGGTATTCGACAACTTAGAGAAAACGGGCAATTAGCAGCAGCGATTGCGTCTGGTTTGCCCAAGCGCCGTCGGGGACGGAGTTGGCGGGTAAAGGAGTACCAGGCCGCAGGGGTGTCTCCAACGCAGCAGGTACGGCGCAGCATCCGGGGCCGTCTCCTGTGGGGGTGGGCGACGCCGCGGCAGAGCCAGCGGACGCTTCGCTGAGCGGGCGGAGGCTGCAGCAAAGGGAGGTGGGCGGCTCATCGCGGGTGGCGGCTGGGAGCCCGTGCAGTTTGATCGGCAGCAAGAACGAGGAGAGTGCTGGAAAGGGCAAGGACTGAGGTCAAGGTTCGGCGTGGAAAACGTTCGCCAGCACGGCCCGGTGCCTGTCCAGTGCAAAGGGCCGGATGGCGTGTCGGGGATGCGCACGTAGTCGGGCAGTCGTCGCCAAAGCTGCCGCATCCGACGGCTTGCGAAGAAGCGAATCAGCCACGGAGAGAAGAAATCATGGATCGGAGGCGGCCCGGAGGCGGCCCCGGAGGCGGGAGAAGAGAAAACGTCTTCCTGGTCCGGACGAGCGCCCGAGAAAACAGATTCGGAGTGGAATCGGAAGGCAGAGGAGTCGGGAGCTGCGGGCCGAAGACCTGGCGAGTGTGCTGCGTTTTTTGGAGGAAGACTTCGCCATGAAGGAGAGGCTGTCTAACGATCAGACGTGGTGTACGCCAATACCGCACGACAGGAAGGTGTCGACGGTGCGGGATTTTTATCAGGCGTTCCACGATGCGAGCACGTTGCCGATACGGACCTGCATGATGCTACCGCAAGCGTACGAGAAAGAGCTGAGGAGATCAGATGGGATCAATGGCTGTCAAGCTGCGTGCCAGAGGGCGGCCGCTCACCATTTTCATGCCGGAGCTGCTTTCCCGAAGGCGAGCCCGTGTCGGTGTGTGCGGAGTGTGCCCGATGCCTGGCGCGCGGAGTCTGTCGCCGGCGGTCCATCTTCACACTCGCCTTGGCTGTGAGCACATGTTCCCTGACGAGCTCAAGGGACTCACGCTGGTCGAAGAGAAGCTCGTCTCGCTCAACTCCTGCTATGGGTTTGTCACGAGATATAGCATTCCGGGCGGGCAGAGGCAGGCCGTGAGGTATCCGAGGCACGTCAAGGGCCACATCACAGTGTTTCCCAACAACGTGCAGGAGCTGGCGACCAAGGTGCTCCGCACCCCTTTGCAAGCACTGGACGAGATCCACGTTTCGTGGCAGGGCGTGGAGAAGCCGGCACCGAGCGACCTGTCGAGTCTCTTGTCGGTGAGGCGGCGGGTCGTCGAGAGGGCTCTTGTTTGGCTGAAGAGGAGCAACCCCACTACGCCGAGATCGAGATCGACGTGGCGGAGATGGAGAGTTGGGGAGACCCGATAGACGGGTGCCGGCCTTGGTGTATGATCGCATGGAGCGGAACGAGCCGTCCGCATGGGAGAAAACGCGGACGGCGCACGTTGTGCCGCCCACGGAGCGCGCCATGGACGACGAGGGGTCGGTGGAGATCGAGGAACTCTTCGCTCTGCTCAACCAAAGGCAGGAAACGGGAGGCGAGGCTGAAGGGCACGGGCCCAACGAAGAAGGCGCGGGTCGTGATGGAGTTGGTGCTAGCCCCGATCAGAACGTTCGACCAATCAACGAGGTGACGTCTTCCGGCATGTTTGGGCTGGACGGACCGCCAGACGTGGCGGATGTCGAGAAGCTGCGGTTTGCCTGTGACGCTGTTGGCGCAGGTGCCGACGACGGCCGCGCGGGCCGAGAACGTGGGTCGGATCCTCGGTGGGGTCGAGGGCGTGGCGACGATGGCAGTGAGCCATACATTCGAGTCTCGCGGGGATGAGTTTGCCGACTCCTTTGAGACGTCCTTCTTCGCCAGAACGTTCCCGACCCTGTTCCCATTTGGCGTTGGGGACCAAGGCTGGCCGAAGAGGCCATAGCCGAGGCGGGAAGGCCCTTACCAACTTGCGAGGCACCGGTAGAGCTGCTGAGGCAGGGGCGGCAGCGGGAGACATCGTATCCTCCCGAAGCTTGAACCTCCGGATTTGGGCCGACATCGTGCTCCGGCGCCATGGTGGCCGGTTTGCGTTGCACCACATATTTGCATTTCTCGTCTTCAACATGGGGGTGCGGTCGAGGAACCGCCGCGTCAGCATGCTGAGTGTGGCGAGGAAGGACTTCGGCAAGGTCGAGCGCGTTGCCCGCTCGATGACCGCGCAAAGGTTAGCGGCGGCGAGGGTCGAGTTGGAGAGCTCGGGCAAGACGACCGATGAGGGCGTGAAGGAGCTTCTCAGGAGCCTCTCGCTGTACGGCCACCGGCAACCCATGTCGAGAGGTTCGGCTTCGGCTCAAAATCCAGTCGCTCATCGTTGGCTACGGCGTTCCGGCCATCTGGTTCACCATCAACCCAAACGACATTACGAACCCGGTGAAGCTGCGACTGGCGGCATATCGGACACGCGATCCCGGCGCGGCCGAGGAGTTCCTAGAAGGCCTTGGGAGTGCGTACAAGCGGACAAGGCTGGCCATGTCCGATCCGATGAGCGCCGCCGTATTCTTCCACCGGGAGATGAAGCTGTTCTTCGATCATTACGTGAAGGTCGGAGAAGAGTCGGTATTCGGGCGCATCGGCAAGTACTATGGCGCTGTGGAGACCAACGAACGAGGGCGCTTCATGTTCACGGCTTGCTCTGGTTGCACGGAAACGCGCATCTCAGCTCGATGCTTGCCGACATCCACGGGGAGGATCAGGCGGCGTATCGCGAGCGAATCATACGATACGTCGATAGTGTCTTCTCCGAGGTAAGAATAGCTAAGACGTGTCACTGAGAACCTGAATTGCTCGTCCGATGGACAAACGGGGCCAGGCTGACGTGCAAGATAGGATCTGGATCAGGAAGGGTTCTGCGCCGTGCAAGCGGAGCGATCTGTGACGTCCGATATTTCCTCCCTGCTGGACAACACCGAGCAGTTTTCGGCCGCATTTGACGAGGAGGCCAACTTCTGTGCCGGCGCTACACAGGTTCACACGCATAGCCCGACCTGTGTCAAGTATTCCTTGGGCAAAGGAGCGCGGAAAGGAATCCATGCCGGTTTAAGTCTCCATGGAGGTTGGTCGACAAGACCGCCATCACGGCAGACGGGGTGTTGCAGATCCGGAGGACTCACAGCATGGTCAATCGATGGAACAAGGCTATCGCTGTTGGGCTCCGGCACAACCACGACATTTCCTTCATTGCGACGCAGCGCAAGACCATGGCCCTTATGTATTATGTCACGAACTACGCGACGAAGGTGGAGGACCCGGTGTGGAAGCGTGTGGCGGCCGCGGCCGATCTCCTGGCCGCCTCAACGGGTGACGGCACGGCCAACGGAGGACAGGACGACGGTGGAGGTGCTGTTGGCGATGACGCCGCCAAGGGAACAGGACGCGACAGTTCTTGATGAGGGTGGCGAATCGTGTGTTCACGGAGCGTCCGCTATCTCAGGTCGAGGTCGTCGCTCATCTTCTTGGATATCCGGCCGAGTTCACCAACAGCAGCGCCTGGGCGTACCTGAACACATCTCTGCTGTACTGGGAAGTCTTTCGACGGTGGCCGTATCTCCGACGAGCAAGTGGCGCGGCGGCCATAGATGATACTCTGGATGAGTCGGTCGTTGTCGAAGAAGCAGGCCTGAGGATCTCCCACGTTGAGGCGTACCAGCACCGGGGAGAGCTCCTGCGAGGGCTATGCTTATACGACTACATATCGCTCGTTAGACTAAAACGCACCAGTAAGGATGAGAGCTGTGCGGCCTGGGGGGAGGTGCCCTTCGAGGATGGATGGGCGCCAGGAGACGCTGGGTCCAGGTGCTCAGGCGGCCGGGCAAGCATGCTACCGTCTGCCTCGATGGCTACCTGAGCAAGGACTTCGGCCACAACGACGACGAGGAGTCGTGCCACCGGAGGTGTGTATAGCAACCGCCCTGCCGGCAGGCATCATCAGAGTGGCTAACCTCCCCTCCCCTTAAAGGGCAGCCGTGCAGCATCTTGCGCTATTTGTGCCGTGGAGTCCTTTCTGTGCGAAGAAACAGGTGAGATCAATAGCATCTGGGAGCGGGCGCGAGGCGCTGGCCCCGAGAATATCATGTCTCGTCGACAACGGGCAGCCGCCTCCCCGATCAGCCGAAAGCGGAAAACGCCACGCCAAACCATTGGCGGCCTCATCCGGCGATGGCGATTCCACGGTCGCCCACGTCGAGGAGGGCGAGACAGGCGAGGCGGGCGCAGAATTTGCAGCGACGTATCGGTCCAACAACATCGGAGACGCAACGCGCCTGATCGACGTCGTCCGAGGCGCAGTGGGCACGAATCAGGTGACGGCCAAGTCGCCGGAGCTCATGGCAATGATGCGGCAGCTCTGTCGATTCCAGCAATCGGCGCTCTGCTCAACGGCCGAGCTCGAGGCCATCGCGATTCCCGAACAAGGGTTGAGGTGCATAAGCATGCCAGGGCGGGTATTTTCCGGGGCCGCACTACCGCCGCAGGATCAGGTCAAGGCTATCAAGTCGCAGCAGATAAGTGCGTCGAGGAAAGGAGAGAATGATCCAAGGCGTACAAACCACAGTCGCAGTCCGGGAAAGCGATCGCCGAGCTGCGTTGCGGAGGTGATGACCGGCTTCGGGAGGACGACGTCGAAATGACGACAGCCGACTCCGACGAGACGGCTAGCGACGCAGAAGCGGGAATGCGCGTCCAGTTTGGCCCATCGACCTCCTTCTTCGCGGCGGGCAAGGAGTTGTCAACACGGCTAACGCTGAACAAGAGGCAGTCGATCGCTTTCCTAATAATATGCCGCCAGCTCGATTTGATGCGACAAACGAATAGGGCGATGCCGGCCAGCTCTGCCAGCTCGTCGGCGGCGAGGGGGGCACCGGCAAGTCGCGGATCATTGGGGCACTCGTCGAGCTGTTCAGTGGGAAGAGCCTTTCGAATCGTCTGCTGATCACGGCGACGTCAGGGACTGCCGCGGCGCAGATCAACGGCATCACGATCCACCCGCCTGCGGGTTCACTAAAGACCAAGGGCGGGCGGCGCGAACACAGCCAAGGACCTTGACGGGGTGCGGCTGACAAAACGGGCGGAGCGGTTCATCCACGGCCAGTCTCGGATGGACTGGCAGGAGAAGGACGTGCTTGTCATCGACGAGGTGAGCATGCTCGGGCGCGGACGCTGCACGCCATAAACGAGCGACTCTGTCGGCTTCGCGGATCGCAGAAAGATTTCGGGGATCCCCATCGTCCTCTTCTGCGGAGACTTTCAGCAGTTCCGGCCGGTCCAAGAGAGGTCGATCGTCCTGCCGAGCGCGGCCATCTCGTGGGACGTAGACAACTCGTTCAAGGCCGAGCAGCGGCACCAGCACGACAAAGCGCACGCGCTGTGGAGAGATTCACGACGGTCGTCATGTTGAACGAGCAAATGCGCGCCGCCGGGGATCCGGAATTGCAGGGGCTGCTGAAGCGGATCCGGCAGGGTGTGCAGGACCGCACGGATCTGGACCTCCTCAACTCAGGTGCTACCGCGAGGGCAGGCGGATCCCTTGGGAGACTGGCATCACCGTGGTGACGCCGCTGAACAGGAATCGGTGGAACCTAAACATGGAGGCAAGCTTGGCGTTCCGGGTCCAGCAGCGGTCGACGATGCGCATCTTCATCTCCGAGCACAAGTGGAAGGAGGGCCTGCCGACCGAGGAAGAAGCGATCATGATACTCAATCAAGGCGACGATAGCGCGATCCCCGTGCCGGCCGTCTTCATGTTCGTGGCCGGGATGCCGGTCGTCGTGAACCACAACACCCATCAGGGGCTGAAGCTGGTGAACGGCGCCGGCTACTCGGCGGTGGAGGTCATTGTCGACAAGGCGTCCCCAGGGCATCGAATCTCGTCCGACATGACGATCCACTTCGGGCCGCCGGCGGGATATTACTGGAATCGGCGACGACAAAGGACCTCCACTTCGTCGGGATGCCGCCGGGCACGATCTTGTTAACGCCGATGAGCGTCAGGATACACTGCCAACGAAAGCGGCCGTGGCAGCAGAACGACGTCAGCCGGAAGGGATTGCCGTGCGCAGCAGCCTTCGCCTGCACGGACTACAAGGTGCAGGGCAGAACGCCAGAGCGCGTGGCCCTGGAGCTGCGGGGGACACGGACGACGAAAGTCGATGGAAGGGCCGTGCCCTCGCAATGCGACCCGTACAGCTTATATGTGCAGCTATCGCGCTGTCGAACGCTAGACGGCATCACGCTCGTGTCCAAGGTGCGGGAGAGAGACTTGGTGGGCAACCGAGTCCCCGAAGAGATGACCGCCGCGCAGGCCAGGCTGGAGGTGCTAAGCGAGAGGACTGTCGAGGAAGCTTTGCGTCGGTCGGATGGCGACGCTGAAGAGTCAAGGAGAGTTGTCAGGGTGAGGTGACGAGGGGGAGAAGACGGAGGAGCGCGCCGGCGGGCAAGAAGACAAGGGCACTGGGCAGCAGCGATCAACGAGGGGCGACTTTTAGACTTGAAGGAAGAACCCGCTAGAAAGGCATGAACGAAAAGGCAAAGACAAAAGACGCAAGTTTTAGACACAATAAGAAAACCGGCGGACGAAAGGAAAAAGGTTGGCATTGGCATTGGCATTGGCAAGGGGTAAACAGGAGTATAAACGGGGAAACAGGGCAAGGCATGAGAGGGGCAAGAGAAGGCGGCAGCGACCAATGATGAGGGAGGGACGGAAGGGTCGGCGACCAATCACACGGGATCTTTTATTCCGAAAGAGGAAATAAATCAGCCAATCAGAGGCGGAGGATGTGGGGGTGAAGCAGTCTGGGGCCTTTTTTCCCCGCGCGCTAATGAAGTCCTTTCGTTCCTCAAGGCAAAGTCCTTTCGTTCCTCAAGGCATTAGTGCGCCCCATGATTACCAGCAACCCGGATTTTACTACCTTGAAATAGGGTTTCGGATTGATTTCCAACGAAAAACATGTATAACCTGTAAGACGAAGTGCGTATTATCCAAGTGGCGGAACCCCGGTCGGGAGTTATGATATACCCGTTATGTCACCGTATAAAGGCGGGGTGCCAGGTAGCCTCTAACCTATCTGTCATCTCTAGGGTAGGAGGCAGGCTGGCTCGTCAATATTTATGCGAAGCAGTTGAGATGCCAATACATTCGCTTCTTTCCGTTGTAATTAAGCATACTGGTAAGCGTCTAAACACAAGCTTTGCTAAGAGCTTCCGCCTGTTATTGACTTTATTATGCTATCAAAACATGTTGCTAAGTTATCGTTTCTGGTCGAGAAACCCCATTATACCGGATGTTGCCCTGCCAATTTGTTCAAGTTTGTCAGTCGGGTTACAGTCCAAAGCGCAGATTGAGCCTCGGCCACACTTCTACGGCCCCAGCTACACCAATCATTAGCTTCATAGGTCGATGCACCGCAAGCCTTCTGATGCTCTTCTCGTCGAGGCTCAACTGAGGATCTCCACCGCCGTTGCGTACGCAAATTGGATGCCGACGTTAGGAACACTGGGGCGTGTCGCTTGGCTGGCACGAGATGAGCGCGAGACGAGCGCGAAGCGAGCACGTACGGAACAATTCGCGACGATGTAAAGTTTCGTTGTGCGCCGACGCTAAAAGGGATATGACCGATCATTGGCCGGCAAACTCAAATTAATTGGATTCTGTGGTCCAAACCAAATCACTAGGACTTCCTAGGGTGGTCAAAAAGAGGAAGTTGTCCACCACAGAATGATCTGACCGGAGCTGCCACAAACAATCCGGTTTATCCCACCAATCCTGCTCTCCGCCAGATTCCCATGATCGCCACTCTTATGGTCTAGTGCATTCCCTAGAGGATCATGTCCTCCATCGTGGATCACTCCGAGGCTGGCACCTATATAGATGATTCTGACCTTATTAGTGGGACAGCGGCTTCCCGTCACCGGCACCATCCTCTTCGCCTGTCCTTAGCGTCTACCGCCGAAAGACGTCTCCTATTTGGCAGTATTGTCGAAGAGAAGAAGGTAGGAGTATTCCGGCAGCTTGGGTTGATTCAATGGAACGAAATGGTGGCATTGCCAGCCCTGCTTCGACAAGAAAAGAGCGAAGAAATACAATTACTGTGGTGGGTCGTCCGCCATCGTCAATCATTTGCGAAAGGAGCACAATATCATTATTTCTGGGCGGCAGGAGACCAGGCGGGAAGTGACGCAAAGTCGCCTCGGAGACATCACCGTTCCTGGCCAATGGAACTTTGGTCTCCACCAAGAAACGCAAGGCGACCGCAGAGGTAGATGCCCTAGACCAAGCGACTCTCCGCGAACTGTACTGCCGTTATACAGTAGCCTGCAGCCTCTCATTTGCTCATGTTGAGCAGCCGGCCTTTCGCGACTTTATCCGGTATATCCGTCCGGCCGCCGATGATCTCCTCCCGAGGTCCGGCGACACGGTTAAAAATGACTTACAATGGGGCTACGACAACAAAAAGGAGTTTGTAAAGCGAGCTCTGCAGAATGCTCTCTCGTCAATCCACATTGTTCCAGACAATTGGACATCGCCGAATTGTTTGGGCGTAATAGGGTTTACAGTTCAATTCGTTACCGAAGATCATGGTCTGCAGTCCCTGGTGGTGAGGATAAAAGAATTGGAAGGACAGCACAGCGGCGAGAACATGGCAGAAGCCATCATGGAGTTCATACGAGAATATGGAATAGCGACAAAAGTTGGATACTTTATGATGGATAATGCCACCAACATGAATACCATGATCGACAAAGTCTCCGACGACTTGGAGCACGAGTTCGAAGTTTTCTACGATCCTCTTCCTCACCGACTTCGCTGTTTCGGCCACATCATTAACCTGGCCGTGATGGAGTTCCTCATAGGAAAGCGACCACCCACAGCAGATTCCTACCACGGACCGTCCGACGACGAAGTTAAGCAATGGAGAAAGCGAGGGGCGATAGGCAAATTGCATAATATCGTGGTCTACATCACCTGGACTCCCCAGCGACTTCAGACATTCACTGGTCTCACTGACGGTCTACGGCTACGGCGCGACAATGACACTCGTTGGAATTCGTGGCATAGCATGGTTGAGTGGGCCCTTAGAACAAAAGTCCGTCAAGGCATCACCATATTTTGTGCTCAAGAGCCTGCCCTGCAAGACGATGCTCTGACTTCCTCTGACTGGGTTACTCTGGCTGAAATTCACAAATTTCTCGAACCTTTTCACGACGCTACAATGGCCAACGAAGGCACCGGCAATTCCATCTCTGACGTTCTGCCAACCATGGACTATCTCTTGCATCACATTGAAGCGGCCAAGGAGGCCACTACCATCCCCCACTTGGCTACAATGATGGAGACGACATGGGCCAAATTAGCCGACTACTACGAATTGACGGAAGATTCGCCAGTCTATTCAGCAGCGACGGTATTAAATCCTTCCCTCAAGTGGGCATATATGGAGAAGACTTGGGACGACAAGAATGAATGGATTGAGAGAGCTAAAGCTCGGGTAGGGGAGCTCTGGAGGGAGGCATACAAATCTACCACTCCCTGCCCTGTTCTTCGACCAGCTTCCGCACAAGAGCCAAGTGCAAGACGACCAAATGGGTACAAAATGTGGATGAAAGAGCAAAAGGCTACGATTTTCAACATGGATGACGACGAGTACGAAGTGTATTGCCGCGAGCCTGTGGTGATGGTATCGGATCCGTTGAAATGGTGGTTAGAGTCAGCGCAGCGGCGACGGTTCCTAACTTATCTTTGATGGCCATTGACCTTCTATCGATTGCGCCTATGTCTACTGAGACAGAGCGGCTCTTCTCCAAAGCCAAACTTTCGGTAACCGACCAGCGAGGATCTATGAACATTGAAACTTTAAATCTCTTGGAATGCCTACGATCCTGGGACCGGAGCGCTCTGATACTCCCATCCGAGGTAAGATTTCTGTTTCGTCAGATGAAGATTGTCTAATTATGGATTCCAGTGTCGCTATATCGATCCGGAAGCCACCGGTACCGGGTCTGAGCCTCTGATTCAGGAAAGGGGCGAGAAAGCTGCAGGTAAGGCAGGCAATTCGGTGAGGGCGCTGGAAAACTTGAAGGCAACCTTGCAGGTGCGACGGGTGCAATGCCAAATGTCAGACTATATGTTCACACTAATAGTGTAGACCACAGTTTGCACTGTAGTTCAGTTTGGCCGTGACGAACAGACTAATAGTTCAGTTTGAACATCTCAGGCACACTGGTAGTGTAGTGCGGCCAAGTCACACGCACTGAATGAGCAGTTTGAGGGGTCCAAACGCACTGGCCACACTATTAGGAGCATTGCTCAGAGATGGGGAGTGCCTCGAAGGACTCTGATCGACAGATTTAACGGCCTGACGGCCATGAAAGAGCAAATTCAGCCCAGACTTGCAAATAGATAAATCAAATCAAATCCGGGGTCCAATTTGATTTGATTTGGATGGCAAAATCATGGATCTGATTTGATTTGATTTGATTTGAGTCGATTTGGATCTCATTTGGATATCTGGATAACTCCACTTTTTTCCCACGACGAAATACACTGAGCCGCCCCGATAAGGTCCGCTTTGAGGCGGCCTCTGAGCTGTGACCATCTGTCCGGCAAGGCTAAATATTCTCTCCGGCTCTGAAGACATTGCCGGAATAGAAAAGAGGTCGATTGCCATTCGCGACAAGCGTGGATACTGGCGTCTGCGGAGAAGCCAGTACTGGATGGGATTGTCCACAAGACAATCGCCCGGATCGGTACTGGCCACCCATTCTGCGTATTCGTCACGCGTGGAGGACGGTGAGGGCGCAGGTTGGGCGCCAAGTTTCCTAATTGAGGTCATGAAGTCATCTAGGTCCGTTGTCTTCCTTGCAGCTGTGGGCTCCTCGGGTATCGTATCTTGCTCGACCGCGAGGTTCGGTACTCCTCCCATAGCTCTTGCACAGCCGCCCTTCCTCTGGCCAACCAGTCCGGATGATCGGACCACTGCGACTCGACGGTGGACCAGCGAAACGCGGGATGGAGGACGAGGCTCGCGAGGTACGCAGGGCTATCCTCCGTAAGGGCGTAGTATTGATCCAGCTTCATCCAGCCGAGATTGCAGCCGATTCGCAGGTACGGTTCCTCGTCCCGTTCGTGCTGTAGCTTTGCCTCTTCTAGGTGCTTCAGAAGCCACTCCATTGTGAGCAAAACTTCCCAAATCGCGCCGAATTTGCCTTGTCGTGGCTGGCCCTCTAGGCGCTTTGTCGCGATCTTCAATGGTTTCAGGATCGCCAAATACTCTGCAATAACGGACCAGTCCTCAGTGACCATCTGGTCGTCCACAATTGTAGGCTTCTTGCGGCACTTCTTCGGCATCGGCTTTGCCCCGTGCTGTGTCCTTCTCGCCACATATTGATTCCACTCTGTCACTTCCGCTTGGACCAGCGAATCGAGTGCATTGCGAAGCATGTAGCCCGCTCCATCATCGCTTCGGACGAGTTCCAGCGAGTAGCGTTGTCCATGACCACATCGTAGGTTGTTTTGTCTTCGAGGCCCAGGGCGGTGTTCTCGATGGATTGGAGCATGTGGAGCCTTTCAATGCGCTGCCCAGACCTTTCCACCCAGTGAACGATATTGTGCAACTTGCCGATGGGGCCCCTTGATCTCCAGAGTCTGACCTCATCTTGGATCTCTTTGTTGGCTTGGCAATCCTCTTCGAACGCGTCGGCGTCCGTGCCGAAAAGGATGGATCGGGCGACGAGGTTGATGATGTGGCCGCAGCAACGGAGCCGACGATGCTGCTTGTTGAACCCCAACTCAGCGCCCAAGTCTTCAAGGCACGTGTCGTTGCTCTCCGCATTGTCTGTGACAAAATATCCAACGCGATCCTCGAACCCATACTCGTGGATTATCTCGCTGACACGGTCGGCCAGGTTTTCTCCACAGTGGCGACCTTCAATCCGTGGCAAGCCGAGGAGAAACGTACGGAACTTCCTTCGTCATCAATAAAGTGTACGGTAAGGCCGAGCAGAGATGTGAATTTTCGGAGGACCAAGCATCAAAGGAGACGTTGATGCGGCTGAGCGACCGACGAAGCAATTCCGTCACGACACCTTTGTGACAATTGAAGGAGCGCACAATCCAGTCGCGTATTGTGCTATGAGTGGGAATACTGCCCGAATCCGCAATTGCGCTGTTCGCGTAAGCCATAAGGTCGCGAAAGTACGGACTCTCAGTTTGTGGAATGGTATGTTGTCGCATGCCACCCAGCGTATCAAGAGATGTTGAAAGCGAAGCGGTTCAAAGGACGAGATGAAGGCATTCATCAGAGCCTGATCCTTCGGTCGGTTGGAGTCTAGGTCAACCACGTCGAAAGAGTGCGTTGCTTCTTCCTCTGTGGTAGCATTGGCCCGCCTTTGTTGATGTGGTGAATTTCTTCCATGTGACTGTTCGCTTGACTTGTGGATGCAGCATCGTACATATGGGTAATTGTAGCCTTCTTCCCGTGGCAGGCCTTGCAAAGCCAAAACCGATGACCGGAATCGGTTTTCTCGATATCGAACCCATGCTCCCATACCCATCCCGTCCGCGCTCTTTTCTATACTTGCGTATGGAGAAACCCGAGAGGCGATTCCAATCGATGCCTTCATATCCAACGTAGTCGATCGAAGGTGATGTGTCAAGGTCGGGGGAGCTCTCGGGAGCGCTAAAACTGGTGGACGGGACACTAGAAAGGGCGGCTGACAGCGCCTCGCCTTCTGCTGTATGCGCCATTGCAGTCAAGTGCAGAGCTGTCCCATTTTGGCCACCGGCTACAAATATTTCCCCCAGTAATATGGCAGACGCACCCAAAGATATATTTCACGATCAAACGTGTCAGGTAAAACGCAAAAAGAAAGCTTAGTGACACGGCCTGGAAAAGCAACTGCCAGTAAGGGATTTCCCGGTGATCTGCCGGATCGGGCGATTCGCCGGATTCACCGCCAGTTCACGTCTCCACTTCAATCCTGAATTTCTCCACCACCATGGCCCCGATTGATGAAGCGCTTGAGTTTCTGAAGCTGTGTGACACTGTTAACTATGCCAAGACTGCGCGTCAGTTCAATTGCGACGAGACTACCCTGCGACGGCGACACCAAGGCAAACAGAGGTCAAGACGGGATGCCGACAGTTTGTATAAGTCACGTCTCTCAAAACAGCAAGAAAGGGATCTTGTTGCGTATATTCGCAAGCTTTCATCACGTGGGATTCCGCCTACGCTGCCGATGATCAAAAGTTTTGCCCAGGATATCGCCAAAATTGAGGTCGGAAAGGACTGGCCGTATAGCTTCGTCCGACGTAACAGCGATGAGCTCGGTTGCACTTGGTTCGACGGTTTTGATATCGCAAGAAAGAGAGCAGACAATGCTTCTAGATACAGAGCCTACTATGAGCTTGTAAGTAGGTGCCCAAGTCCATCCCTTCATTGCTGATCGTACAAGATTGGCGAGAAAATCGAGAAATACGACATCCTGCCTTGCAACACGTATAATGTGGACGAAAAGGGCTTTCTCCTCGGCGTCATCAATCGTACCAAGAGAGTATTCTCTGTTCGTGCCAAGAAGCAAGGAAAATTGATCGGTGCTGCGCAGGATGGCAACAGATCATGGATCACGTTCCTGGCATGTGTCTGTCAAGACCTGACCGCGCTACCCCCGTTTCTCATCTACCAAGGCAAGCCAGGGCAAGTTCAGGACTCCTGGCTCACGGAGTTTGATCCGGAGCACCAAGCGGCGTTTTTCACAACCTCAGAAACGGGTTGGACGAACCATGAACTTGGAAAGGAATGGCTCATTGGTGTTTTCGACCGGTTCACGAAAGAAAAGGCGCGAAACGGCCGGGATTACCGCCTCCTGATTACCGACGGACACTCTAGTCATGTCAATATGGACTTCCTGGAGTGGTGTGACCAGCATCGGATAATCGTTGCCGTGTTTCCGCCGCATTCCACGCACAGGCTGCAGCCCCTTGATGTGTCCCTTTTTGGCCCTCTTTCGACCGCATACACCAACCAGCTCATCCAGTGGACTGCAAAGACACAGGGACTCATCGGGCTATCGAAACGCGAGTTCTGGTCGTTATTTTGGAACGCATTCGGGTCATCTTTCTCGGCGGAGAACATCGCAAGTGGTTGGAAACGGACCGGACTCCTCCCATTTGACCCTGAAGTCGTTTTGTCGCAGATCGCGGAGAAAACAGAAGATGAGTCTGAGTCTGGCGACAGCTCCGTTGACTCGCTCGCCCTGCAGCAGCCCACTGCTCGGGATTTGCGCCGACTTGTCGACAAGGTAGTCGATGGATCCTCAAAAACGCTAGCCGAGACAGTCGGAAGCTCAAAAGTACTCTCGAAAGTCTCCAATCTCAGAACGAATTGCTTCGATATGAGAATCAGGGACTTCGGGAGACTATCTTTCACGAAAAGCAGCGCAGAATGCGCGGTAAAGCTCTGAAGGATTACCTTTTCGATCGTGTAGATCCTAACTCGGCGCAGGTATTTAGCCCTGCAAAAGTGGCCCAAGCGCGCTTGAAGAAAGCAGCCATGGAGACTCAGAAGCAAGAAGAGGCCTTGGAGAAAGAACGACAAAGGTTTGAGCGACAGCAAAAGGCGGCAAACCTCAAAGTTCTCGCTCTGGAGAAGAGAAGGCAGCGGGAGGCAAAAACTGAGCAAAGACGTCAGGCAAAGGAAGCCAGACAACAAGAGCGGGAGAAAAACAGGCAGATACGGAAAGAGCTCAAGCGAAAGAACCAGAAAAAAATGTCGGAAATGGGATCCGGACCTCTGTTGCTCCACAGACTCGCGAGAAGAGTCCGGGCGTTCGAGACGAGATTGTCGTCGCCATTTCGGCTCCACCAGAACCGACGACAGCTCCGGAACACTCAAAATCGCCAAACATTAAGTTGCGTAAAGATCCAAAGCCGGCATTGACCACTTCCTCACGTCCCAAAAAGCCATCATTGGCTGTCGAGCGCGACCAGGAGATGGTAGTCGCAATGCGGGGACTTGCGCGATCGGGACGCCACAGGAAGCGGCCACGGTGGCTTGATGACTGCGAAGTAGATTGAATGGAATTGCTAGGCACCCCAAAATTATTGGCCCAGGTCGCCATTGTGGGGCGTATCCAAATAATCAGATATCCAAATAAATTTGGATGTTGCGATTTGATTTGATTTGATTCAGCGCAGGGGCAATTTGATTTGATTTGATTTGGATAAATTTGATTTGATTTGATTTGATTTGATTATGATTTATCTATTTGCAAGTCTGTTTCTGGATTCTTCGTCAGGAGTCTCTGGGATATGCTCCGTCCCACAATCGGATTCGCGCTTGCGTCATGGGCTTGTTAAGACATCAAGGCGAACAACCAAAATTAGGACGCAACTGGGTAGCCAGATTCATCGAGCGCCACCGAGGCCTTAAGACTAAGATCGGTAGACGTCAGGAAGCTAATAGGTTTGAATCCTTCACGCCTAAGGCGGTTCATTGGTACTTCGATATCAGGGAGGGCCAGTACGGCTGGATTCGGCCTGAGAACATTGTTAACGTTGACGAAGGAGGCATCATGATCGGTTTTGGCAAGCCGCCATTTCTCTTTTCTCTTTATTTTTGAAATTTGACTAACTAGACTCTCTTCGTTAGGGTTGGATAACCTGGTGGTCGGAAGCGCGGACCCAAGGCGAAAGGCTCTTCTCAAGGGACCACAAACTCGAAATTGGACTTCGTTTATCGAAGCTATCACTGCGGACGGCCGTTCCTTGACTCCTGGCATAATATTCAAGGGAAAGGAACTCCAAAACAGTGGTTCCTTCATGAATTCAAGAAGATAGCGAACTGGCATTACATAACTTCACCAAACGGGTGGACTGATGACCACATTGGTGTTGAATGGCTTGAAAGGGTCTATTTGCCCCAGACCAAGCCTGCCGAGGAGTCTGATGCCAGATTAATCATTCTAGACGGCCACGGGAGCCATGCAACGGTACTGTCTTTGCTTACCTAGCCAAAGGTGGCTGCTAACCGAGCGAAGGACGAATGGATGGCTACATGCTTTTTGAACAACGTTTACTGTTGCTACCTTCCAGCACACTGCTCTCACGGCCTCCAGCCATTGGACAATGGAGTATTCAACGCCTCCAAAGCTGCATATCGACGAGAGTTGGAAAAGTTCGCTTCCCTGACTGATTCTGCTCCGATGGATAAGGTCAATTTCATCAGAGCCTACGCCAAGGCTCGTGAAGTGGGAATGACGAAGAAGAATATACTCTCTGGAGAGTTACTGGCAATTGGCCAATTTCGCGAGCCAAAGCTCTACGGCACCCAGAAATCCAAGAGGATAGGCGGAATGACAGCCCAAAAAGGACTCCGGAGCCGGCGCCGTATTTTGGCTCGGATGATACACCAAAAACCAGCCGCCAGATTCGCGATCTTGGGCTAAACAAAACACCAAAGACACGGAGACGGTATAACGTGATAGCCAAAGGCTTTGAGACTCAACAACAGACGTTAATGGCGCATGCCACGAGAATTGCTGGCATGGAGGAGGAACTGGCACGCCTGAAGAGAGGGAAGAAGAGGAAGGCTATTCCGAATCCCAATAAACGTTTCATGACTCTGAGCGAGGCTCTAGCCTCTGGAGAAGTCAATCCAGAAAAAGGAAGCGAAAAGAAGCATGTTGTGGTGAACCATAGCTCTTCGGGGGCCAGAATCGGAGGCTGCTTCAGTTATTGAAGTCAGAGAAGAAACCATACTACCTCAGCGCACCACACGATCGGGGAGGCCGGTCAAAAGCCCTAAAATCCAATAGATACATCAATTGTAAATTTACACCAGGCAACCATTTGCAAATAACTTTTATTTTGGTCAAGTTGTGTGTAAGTGAAATAGTTAAGTTTTGGTGGGGGGTTTTTTTTTTTTGCCTGGCGAAAGGGTGGGGTTGGCGAAAGGGTGGTGGTGCATGGTAATACAGCTCGAAACCAGGGCTCCTAATAGTGCAAACGGTTTACACTGATAGTGCACACTGAGCCGTCAGCTTAGATCAAAAGCAATTAATGTTGAATTTTAACTGGCGGAAATAGGATCTGGCCAATTGGATACTCTCTAGATTTGCTTTTGATCTGAGCTGACGGCTCAGTGTGCACTATCAGTGTAAACCGTTTGCACTATTAGGAGCCCTGCTCGAAACCAGGTAAGGAGGGAGGTTTGTGGTCCACTGAGGGGTCCGGAGGATCTCCTATTCGATCGGGATCCTCCAAGGAGCCCGGTATATCTTTTACTAGCTCGGGGACCTCAAGAGATTGAACTATCGACTTAATAGCTTGGAAAGCTATTGATCGGGGAGATCGAGCTGAATGTGCTGACGTAGATGGCTTACGCGGCCTTCAGTGAGGGGCAAGGAGTGCCCTCTTCCTGATAGAATGTACATTATACCTGAACACGGGATATGAACACAGGGAAGGCACAGAGGGATATAAAAGGGGAGGGCTAGACGGATACAGGGCAACAAGAGGAGAGTAATGAACACATGCATTTCACATACCATCTGATCGTATGATACTCGACCTTCGAAAAGTCCCTTTATCCACTTTTATGCCCACTTTTGCTCTCTCCTTCGCGAGAATTTTAGATGCAAAAAGTGTTAGGTTTGCCCGTTGGCTCGAGGCGCTCTGTGTAAAGTAAAGATCAGGCTGTCTGATCATTTGTACGATAGAGCGCACATCGCAGGAGGGTATCACGTGCGTCAGCAGGGAACAACGTTTACCCGACACGCACACAACCTATCAAACCTCACAGCATTGTCCATCCTTCCTTGTATTTTTACTTTCTTGGCACGCAAGTGTTAAGAAAGTAGCCTATTCTCACATACTTTCGCTTAACAAGTGCTCTTGACAAAACACCAATTGAGCCGCGCGCAAGCGCCGGCAGCGACCATGGCACCAGCCTCAGGTTCGCATGTCGACTCCAATGCCTCGAGACAAGGCATACGATCGCCGCCAAATCCGGCGGCTCACATATCGCATCTCCGACCTCGCTACCCGACGGAAGCTCGCCGAAACGACTCGTTTCCCGCGGCCCAGCAGCTGGCCCAGTCAATCTCGTCCACCGAAACGCCTGAAGCTGCCGTCACGGAAGGAGCGCAGCTGGAAGAAGCCCCGAATCTCTTCGACTCGGCCCAGCCCACTGAGCACGCGCCAGTCTCAATCCTCGAAGCGGCCACGAAAATTGCTCGCGACAAAACGGCAGCCCATAACGCCAAGCTGGCAGTCTTACGGGTCTTTAGCGAATCATTCGAACAAGCAGCAAAGCAGTTCACGTCTGGCACCGAAAACAGCATCGCCAAGCAAGTCGCCACCAAATTTCTCAAATTCTGGACTCAATCGCTTGCCGAACTCGAAGAACCACCGAAGCCCACGTACAGCAGCGTTCTCGCATCCGGCAAGCCGAAGCAAGGACAGCTGGCCTTTACAGCCTCCGCCCCACCACAGCGAAAACCACAGACCACCACTCGTCTGCCAGGACGACCGCCCGTAGCCCCACCGAAGGAAGACCTCCGTGTCTTCGTCCGACTTGACGCTGACGCTCCGGCCCGAAACCACGAAAGATACGCAATCCGGACCCACATCGCCGCTAGAGTCGGTATTGACCTGCGCCGCATTCCGGCAGCCTTCCCGGTAAACACGGGCTGGGCCATCCAGGCATCGGATGTGGCCACGCGTGACTTACTTGTGCAACGGCAGGCGGAGTGGGCTGCAGACCTGGAAGCCGCGGCCGTAGAGATAAGCCAGAAATGGCATTCGTACGTGGTAGCCGATTGTCCTCGTAGGCTCACAGACCTACGAGGTGTCGTGATCAACTACGAGGAGGCGGTCAAAGAAGAGATTGCCTGCCAAACCGGACTGAAGCCCATCAGCATACGTCTATCGCGACACGACTCGGGTGATATGCCCACCCAGACCCTGATTGTGTCCTTCCTGGAACCCACACGAAGACCCTGGAGACTTTTCGGCGCCAGCCGTCTCGCCCGTTACATTGACAAACCCAGCATCCCTAGCCAATGCGATAAATGCTGGGATTTCCACGCTCGCCACAGCTGCGACCGGACGGCGCGCTGCAGACGTTGCGGCAAGACCAACCATCGTAGCCAAGAGTGCGCAGCCCTCGAGCAGTGCGCAAACTGCCTCGGGCCACATTGCGCTGATGACCCTAAATGCCCTGCCCGCCCCATGCGCGTTCATGGCATTGTACGGCGCCTGACGAAAGAGGAGAAGGGTCTGGTGAGGCAGGCGGGAGCTCAGCTCTTCGCGCAGCAGAAAAGACAGACACCAAACCACAACGTGCCCGAGCAGTCTTGTCAGAGCCCTGATTCGAGTCAGTTACGTTCTTCGGAGTCGCAGGCAGCTGGAGAGGATGGAAGCTCCGGCAGAAGCGCCACTCCAGAGCGAGCCGCTTCCTCACCCCCTTGCATTGTCGTGGCCACGACGCCGCCGCACGCTAGCGATGACAACCAGTTCACCCCTGTCGTCCCGTCGAAGAAACGACGCACTAGCCCTGTGACGCTGCCCTAATGCATCACCGTCATCCCAACAATCGAAGCGACAGGAGGTCCTTGCGAGTCTTCCAAGCCAACGTGGGCAAGATCCCTCCGGCGCATGACACTGCGCTCGCGCTGGCTGATTCGGAGCGATACGACATTATCCTGCTGCAGGAACCATGGACAGGACTTAAAGACGGCCGATGCCTCACCAAGACGCATCCGGCCTACGACACATTCTCACCCGTCACCGACTGGGACGGCCGCGACACTCGTCCGAGAGTCATGACATACGTCCGGCGCTCCGCAGGCCTCGTCGCTGATCAAAGAGACCTGCGGCGACTCGTGACATCCTTTGGCTCACCGTGAACGGGACGACGGTAGTTAACTTCTATCGGCAGCCGGACTACGACGCGGCTCTGGAAATACTGCTTGGTTGGTGCGTGACGGATAAATGCCTTGTATCTGGCGACTTCAACGCCAAGCATCCCAGCTGGCAGGCCGGTCGACAAGAGCACCGCGGCGAAGACATCGCGTTCTGGGCCATGGATAACCGACTCAGCTTATTGAATGCTGTCGATGTCCCGACTAACGCGCGCGGCAGCACGATCGATCTCGCCTTCTCCAATATACCTTTGGCGGACGCGGTTGTTGAGGATCATTTAGCAACCGGGTCCGACCACTTTACCCTTAGTATCACGCTGCCTAGTCAAGCCCTAGCACCCCTTCCATTATGCAAGATCCGCCTCAACTCCGATGAGGAATTGAAGCGATTTGTCGAGCTGGTAGAAGCCGGTGCAGCTTTCATCCCGACTACAACCTCAACTCCCTCCGAGCTGGACAACTTTGCGTCGGCGCTGGTGGACCTTCTTGGTTGTGCAGCGAGAGCTGCGGGCCGACCCGTCCGTAAGACGACGCATGGGGCGCGGTGGTGGAACGAAGAGTGCGCAAAGGCGGCGGCCAATTATCGCGCGTGGAGGAGGGTGTACCCTCTCGGCTTCGACCGAGAAGTGCAGCTAGCCAAGCGGGAGCTTCACAATGCAGTGCGCCGAGCAAAACGCCTTTACTGGCGCGACTTGATCGACAGCTTTGCCGACGGCGACTCCGTCTTTCGGGCGGTCCGCTGGCTAAAATCCTCAGGGCCGTGCCAGGCACCTCCCCAAGTAGACGGCCGAGTGTACGAGACGCAGCTGGAGAAAGCCACCGCCTTGCGGCGAGCAACCCTGGAGCGGCGCACGGCGAGCGACGACATCCCAGACCCGTGGATTCCCGTGAACACGGATAAGATGATTCCTTTCCCAATCAGGTCTCCTTTGAGGAGGCTCGCGACGCCACTCTACGCACCGGGAACACATCTCCAGGCTCGGACAACATCACGGTGCGGATGCTTCGCGCTGTCTGGCATGCAATCGGCAGTCTCGTCCATCAGCTGTATCAAGGCTGCCTCACCATTGGTCACCATCCGAAACCTTTTCGGGAGGCAGAAGTGGTTATGATCGCCAAGCTAGGACGCAGAGATCTGTCTACACCCCGCGCCTGGCGCCCCATCTCCCTTTTGTCTTGTCTCGGCAAGGGCCTCGAGCGGCTCATTGCACGGCGTCTAGCGTGGGGCTCAATCCACTTCGGCGTACTACACCCACAACAAGCCGGCGCGCTCCCGAAGAGGTCGGCCGTGGATCTCGTAGCTGCCTTGGTTCACGACATCGAGGAGGCATTCGCCCGGAAGCAAGTCGCAACCCTGGTGACCTTGGATATACAAGGCGCCTTCGATACAGTTCTCTGCAATAGATTGGTCCTCCGCTTACGAGAACAAGGATGGCCATCGAACCTCGCGCGCTGGGCCGGCTCGTTCATGCAGGACAGATCGGCACGCATCCGCTATCAAGACATCGTGACGGATTCATCGCCCTCCAGTGCGGTCTGCCGCAGGGTCGCCCGTCTCGCCGATCCTCTTCCTGTTGTACACGGAGCCGATATATCGCCTAGGTCACTCTCAGGGACGCTTCGGCTACGCGGACGACACTGCCATTCTATGCGTCGGTAATAGCCTTGATGAAACGACCGCCGAAGCATCTCACCATGTACGTGAGCTTCTTTCGTGGGGCGCCGCTAACGGGATCTCTTTCGACCCCGACAAGACAGAAGTGATGCACTTCTCTCGAACGAAGCCCAAGACGGCGCCGCCGGTGCTCCACGGCGAGTTTGAGAAACGGCCGGATCGAGCGATGCGTTGGCTCGGCGTTTGGCTCGACAGCTCTCTCTCTTTCAAGACACACGTCGAGAAATGGACGGCCAAGGCGCAAGCTGTTGCCTTTCATCTTAGGAGACTGACGAACACGAAACATGGCCCTCTGCCGAGTGCTATGCGACGAGCCGTCTGCGCTTGCGTCATCCCCGGGGAATACCGCCCGTTCCTCTACTCCTCGAAGGGCGTCGGACGGCCTTTGCTGCGCGCCTTAAAGCTCTCGACGAAGCTCACCCGCTCGTCCAGCGCACGTCGCGACCAAAAGCTCCCGTCGTGACCGCGAACAAACTTATCAAGTTGAAGTACCAGAAACAGCCACAGCCCTTCCGTACCAGACTGCGGCGAGCCGACGAAATGCTATCGAGCTGCCCGAGACCTGCTTTACTGCAGCGCGGATTTGCCGAAGAGCAGACTGCGCCTCTGCAGAGTGCATCGAAACACGAGACGGCGAAAAAATTTCGCGACTGGCTTCAGGCACTATCGCCCCGAACTCTTGTCGTCTACTCCGACGGGTCTCGTTCTGAGGAAGGCCACATCGGATACGGCTATGCTGTTCACCGGGACGGATCCACCGTCTTGAGCGGCAAGGGCCGTCTTGGAACAGCTGAGGTTTTCGACGCTGAGGCGAAAGGTGCATTGGAGGGGTTGAAGGCAGCGGTGAGCCTTCCAGAAACTGACCGCATCTTTGTCTGCCTCGACAACCTCGCGACCGCAACATGCTTACGGGCACGCCGAACGACTCCTCGCAAGAGGTCTTCCTTGAGTTCCAATCTTTGGCGCGAAAATACGGAGCTGTGGAGGTCCATTGGATCCCCGGCCATGCTGACATCCCAGGCAACGAGGAGGCTGATGCTCTGGCAAAGGCGGGAGCATCACTGCCAGAACCCGCTGATGGCGAACCGACGCTAGCGCATCTGCGAAAAATTGCCCGACTGCAGCGGAAAGAGGCTTTCAGTGCCTGGTGGGAAACCTCTGCGCCGGAGCGATACAGAGACCTGAGGCTTAAAGCCACAACCAGCTGTCCGTCAGAATTGGCGCTCTCGGCCCCTGCTTCATAACTTGCTTGCAGCAAGAACCCACCATGGGGATTTTGCTGACTACCACGAAAGGTTTGGTCACGACGATGCGCGACTGACGTGCTCGTGCGGACGACGAAAAGAGCCAGCACACATCTTTTACTGCAGAAAGGTTGCGCCACGGCATCGTATGCGGCTTGCACCTTGGCCGGCTGCAGCCATCAACCGCGCAATCGGCAAGGACTTTGACAAATTCGTCAGGCTGGCGACAGCGAGCTCCTTCTTCGGAGGGATCTGCCCACGCCACTAGACGGTCATCATTCTCCTCTCACCCTACCTTTCCTCTCAATTCTTTCTGTTACCTGCTCCGATCTCGGCGGCGTCAAGGTCTCACGACCATGCGATCGCCGAGGTCATCAAGGGCTGCAAGGCCCCAGAAGCAAATTGGCTGATCTGACCACGGGACAGCTTTCTCTTCGTGCCTGGACGTCCCGCTGACGGGCAACAGGTTTGTCATGAGCGCCGTTGAGCCGATGAAATGCTGGATAGTGGGTGAAGTGTACGATATGTAGCATGTAGACACCTGCTAGCTCAGCACGTCCTGTGCTCCCCTGCGGAGACCTGAGCGACCAAAAGTTGCTGGACGGAAAATACACTAAACTAAACTAAACTCACAGCATTGTCTAGATAGCGAAGAATAACAAGAACAACACGATCATCGATCAAAGACCCAACTGAGCCTCAGTTAGCCTATCCACATCCAACGTTTTTCTTAATGCCAAACGGAAATGGAAGGACGCAAAGAAAGATAACGATAGCGACTATAATAGCTCTGGCAGTGGACAGACGCAGATAGTGTTGACTTCGGGGGATATCGAAGCCGTCCTCTCAGGAGGGGGACACGGCGGCCCGTCCTTACAAAACGACCGTACCGCGCCTGTGCCCCACAACTACCGGGGCGTCCTTGAGATGTGGAAGTACGTGGCCTTCGCGCAGACCAAGGAGGATTATGAGAAGGCATGGGTGCGCCTGTGCGAAGAGTTCAATGACCAGCAGGCTATTTTGACATATCTTTACAAGACCTATTTGCCCGTAAGCGCGCAGTGGGCTCATTACTCCATCAAGAAATACCGGAATTTCGGGGTTCGGGTGACTTCCGGCACCGAGGCTAGCAACAACAACGTCAAAAGCTATCTGCTCAACGGAACGAGCCATTTGTATGGACTTGTTGAGGCGCTCGAGGGTATGCTTATCGACCAGGAGCAAGACTTTATCGACAACTGCTCGCAAGATGAAGTACTAACCGCACGGAAAAACTCTGGGCCTGGGTCAGAGTACCTGGGCGAGCTTCGCATGATGATGTCCCAGTCAGGACTCGACCTGCTAGCCAATGAACATCGCCACGCTTTAAAATCGATCCCAAGCAGATCCCGTCCTTGGCCAGAACCCATGGGGAATTGTAAGGAGGACTGTAATGTCTCTTGGCAGTTGGGAATTCCTTGTCGTCATACAATCTATAGAAAATTGGAAGCAGGGGCATTCTTGACGAAGTGGGACGTCCACCCTCGGTGGCACTTGAGGCAGTCCACTTCTCGCAACCCCTACCGCCGAATTCTCGACCCCAAGATCGCAACAAGCCTTCGAGGACGTCCGAAAAATGCTACACAGCCTGTCCCTGAGAGCATGGCGGTCAATAGACCACGCGAGTCCCCGGGGGGTTGGACAGCGGCTAGCAAGAGTCGCAAGACTAACACAAGGACAATGTGAAAGGCCTCTAGTGAGTTGATACAACCAACTAGTCCCTATGCTGTTTACTATCAAGATAGAAAAGAAAGAAAGAAAGAAAGAGAATCTACTACATAAGAGCATAACGGCATTTTATAGCTTCGAGCCAATGGAAGGTTCTAGAAGCTAGGCGGCGCAGCCGCCGTTAAAGCGGCTTGCCCGTTACAGACAAGGTCCAAAGGCAAGACAGACGCTCTTGGACCGGGCAAGCAGACTGGCGTGCGGCAAGCCGGCCGTAGGAGGCAGCCTAGTGTACGGAGCAGGGTTGTTTTCCATATCTAAATATGGAAATTGTTGGGTCGTGGGTATTCGTGCTGTGCACAGGGGTGATAGAGAATACGAATCAAAGGTGCTAAAGAGCTATGCCTGTGACTGTTGTATTGGTAATCTATGAAGAGAAGAGAAAAGATGAAGAAGAATGAGGGGAAGGAGGAGAAGAAGGAAGGAAGGGAGGAATGAAGGAGGCGTGTAACCCCGGTCCGAATGTCTTCCCCCCTATAAAGCCTCCTCCTCGCGTAGGGCCAGTAGAGCCCATGTCCCCACATAATGAAGTCCTCCGCATCTAGACACTAGCAACTTTTTCTTTCAAGGAAAGACAAAGGTAACAATATAGCTGGTTGATAATCTAGTGGCCAGGAAGGAAAGAAGTCAAAAGGCAAGGAGACGCTCTGTTTCACACTGGCCTATGGACTGACCCTTCTACCCGGATAGTCAGCTGGTTAGTCGAGATGAAGCGCTCAAGGGCCTTGTTTGGTGACGCCTTCGTCATTGCATCAGCTGGGTTGTCGTTGCCGTTGATCCATCGGACTTCTAATATCTCCCGTCTCTCATATGACTGCCGTAGAGCCATAATGTCAATCATAAGACGCTTTTCCTTTGTTGTGCCGAGCTTGACAATGCATTCGTAAAGGGAATAAGAGTCTACGCAGACGATAAGGGGGATTGGAGGGAGATTCGGTCGGTCGGTGATCATTCTTAGGGTCGTTGCAATAGCAAGGCTGATGTCAAATCCGTCGGTCATGCCGTAGATCTCGGAGGCAAGCACACTTCGGGTTACCCTCTTGCACTTCGTAGAGCTCCAATGGATCAAATTGCCGTTAATGTTAAAAGAAGGAACATCCTCGGAGCTTTCTTGTTTTTCGTTAACAAGCATAACAAGAAAGCCGATTTGTGATGAGAGGTCCTTATTGTTGGCAAATGATCCATCCGTAAAGACCATTAGTTTAGCTGTCTGTAGGTCTAGGGGCACGTATTGGATCCCTCTTTGTAGGTTGTCCTGTTGCCATTTGAGTCTTTTGTTGAGGGTGATGCAGTCCGTGTGACTCCGGTGTAGCTAACCTACCAGCTGTGGGGCAACCACAGGTATAGGTAGAGGGTTTGTGCTGAAAAGAAAAGGTTAAGACAGAGGATGTATGTTAGGGCGACGGTCGTAACTTGGCGAGTTCCCGGCGATATACCGGGCACCCAGGATCTGTAGCCTTGTGTGCTCCTTTTCCACCGCACGCTGCACACTTAAAAACGTCCGAGGTGCAAGTCGACGCAGAATGGCCCGGTTGGGCGCATTGTCCACAGATCGGAGCTGGCGCCTTGCAGCGATAATGCAAGTGTCCGTAGAGGTGGCAACGGTAGCATCTCGCTGGTTGAAGTCCCTGAACAAATGGTCGCGTGTATGCACACTCGCCATTCGCCATCTCAACCGTTCGTTGTGCAAGCAACCTGTCCACCTCCTCTTTCTTATCCAGGTGTACCACCAGAGAGCGGTATTCCTTGTCGACAGACGCTGTCCCGAGCCATCGCATCTTGTGCACTTTCACCCCGTTCATCCGCTCAAACACGGCGCATCCGATACCATCCGTCGCAACCCCACGATGGGCTCTATCAACCCGTAGAGGGTACCACTGTTCCCCATGTAGCGTTCCCTTGTCGAAGTGTGTCTTTATCCAGGTGTCGTTCTGCCGTACTTTATCGACGTCCGTCTCTCGAAAGAGAAGCCGAAAACGCCCTTTTTAGAATTGACGCCCAGACAGGTCACACCAACTTCTCGAGGGCAGCGTTCGCGCGCCGACGAATAGTGCCGGCGTTGCCTTCCTTTATGTCGCTGTCAGGACCCGACTCACGTCTAAGCCAATGCCAGGCAGTGGCCCTGGGACCGGAGAGGGTGGTGGCGAAAGTGGCAGGTGCTGTTGCTGTTGCTGATGAGGCGCACTTGGTGGCGGACTCCGGAGGGCTAGCGACGCGTGGGAAGAGCTCGTTTCGAATGAACTCTTCCAGAGACTCGACGCGTTTCTCCGCCCTTTCGGCCCGCTCCTCGACGCGTTTCAGGAGAGCTTCGATTCGCGCCAATGAATCCTCGTTGGCATTGGGGTCGGCATTCGTCGGTTTCGCTTTCGGACGGCGGATTTCTTTCGTGATGGGCGCGGTTCAGGGTCGAATTGCAGCGTCGGTTTCAGAGGGCGACCGCGGGCGCTGGTCCTTGTCGCGTCGGCCGCGCTTGTCGAATTGGCCACGATGCTACAGGCCACATTGTCGTTCGTACCGTCTTCCTCGTCATCGAGCAACTCGAATTGGTTCGAGTTGCGCTTGGTGCTGTTCTTGCTCTTCCGCGGCATTGTTCCCTTTTAAAAGCCTTTCGAGGCGGGCTGTTCTGTCCGGCATTGGAAACCCAATAGGTGTGTGTATGTATGTGTATTTCACCCGGAGGATTTCTCCTATAGGGCCTAGACGTAAAAGCTACTGATATTTCAATACATTAATGCGTAACACCTTAAGCCCCACGGGTCAGCATACGCTACACCAACCTCGCCGCTACTCGCGACAGGCCTGCTTGAAGGCCAATTTCTCCAAGTGTTCAGCGTCCTACCTTCAGCAGCTGAAGCGCGGTCTGTCGAAATCCGAAGTCGAATACCTGTGTGTTAGTATTGTTGAAGGTTAGTGCTATAATCGATCCTAAGTGGATTCTACTTCCGCTGCTTAGCCCGAAGGGCCAGACGCTGCCTGCGTCTCATCCCCAGGGTTCCGCGCCCGACAGTTCCGGCTGTACGATTCGTGTGGTCCACCGCAGGGCACGCACTTTGGCACTGTCTCCTTGCATTCTCTGTGGTGATGTTCTGCTTTCGCGCATCTGCCACATCTTTGCGGCTTCTTGCATGAAAACGCCTTGTGTCCCATCTCTTGACAGTTGAAGCACTGAATCGGTCCTACGCGGCGTTCAAAAACATTGGTGCAGGCGGACTCTCCCGCAACATCGAACCACACGCCGTCCAGAAGTCTTTGCGCGTCACTCTCTTTAGTGACATAGATCACCATTGACCCGTACGCTTTGGCTTTCTCTGTTGCTAAGCCAGGTGATCTTGGCAATCGTGACGTAATTCTCGGCTCCGAGCGCCTCAGCTGCGCCCGGCAGAACGTTGCCTTCGGCGTCCAGCACTGCGGTACGCTTGGTGTTGTCGACTTTGACAGGGTAAAGCTGATCTCTCAGTACCCTGGCTCCCGAAGTTACCGTCTTCTGCGCTGCTTCCTTGACCTGCTTCAACTCGGTTTGGTCTCTGCATAAAATTTTGATCCGGTCGGGGTTTCGAGCGTCTGTCACGACCGCTGCGCATTTCCAAGTCTCCTGCCTCTGACTCTTTCTCATGTCGCTCTCTATGGCCTTTCGGATGTTGCCGATCTGCGTCTGGCACCTGTTCGCTTCTTCGACTCGTGATGTGTCCACCGTACAGTAGAGACTATCGCTGACGGCTGTTCGTGCCGATTTAGCTGCTGGTACGGTGCCCCGGTTCATTGTCTGGATCGTCGGCGATGACCCTGCAGCGCTCGCATACGACATCTGCGGACTGCTCTGCAGAGAAGATGCAGGCGTAGCCAGGGTCTCTAACTGCGCTCGGATGTGACGAAGCTCATCTCTCATCTCTTTCCCTTGTTGATCCATTTCCTGGATCATCTGCTGTTGCTTGATATGATCTCGTTTTGCGCATCTATCGCTCGGCTGAGCTTTTGCGTTTCTTGACGTGACTCGCTCAAGAGTTCGAGAACTTTCTGGAGCATGGCTCGGCCTTCGTTCGCGCCACCGCTGCTGCTGGCAACTTTGCGCCGCTCAGTCGCGTCACTGATGGCGACATCGTCCGAGGCAATGCGCGTTGCAAGCCTAGTTGCGCGTGTTGTCTTCTCCGCCAGATCGTCGGGCTGTCGCGCGGCTTCTCGAATTTTGGTGCTTGGCCTCACGACGCGTGTCGATCTTTTCGCGGGTGTCGACGCAGGCGACGCGCTTCGCCCCACCATATTCACGGCCTCAGCCGGCGTCTCCATGATGAGGCCCCTCAATGCCTAGCTGGCGTTCGCTTCAGGCTTCTTGTCGAGTTCGTCGGATCCCCGGTTTCCGCGTCAAGGATCCTCAGCTTCGGAGTGCAGATAACCCAATAGGTGTAGTGGGTGAGCCAAAGCGAATCCCCTTAAAGTGGGGGCGGGCACGAGTACGGCAGGCTATAGGGGTCACTGTTGCAAAACCCAAAAAGTCACCGCGCGAGAGTCAAAATGGGTTAGCGGCATGAACGGCCCGCCCCACGGTACATTGGTCTATGTATCTCGGCCCAACTTCGTTGGAAAATTTGGCGTTACGGCAGGTGTAGTCACAGCTACGGGGCCGCTGCGGACCAGCAGCGCGTCTCTCGTCACAAACATATCAGTCGCCTATGGCGAAAATACCGCACGGTAATTCCAACGCTTTAATGTGTTCCCTTATTCTATCTATACATTCTCCTCGTCCTCATCCTCCGGCTTGTTAAGCTGCTATATATCCAGTTAGCAGCCGATGCAACTCACAACTTCAGTTCGCTCACAATCCAGAGCCGAGCAGCCTCAGCGATGGTTTCTAACGCCATAAGCTTCCGCTCTTCGGGGGCCAAAGCGGGAGCTGGTCCTGAAGCGGTAGAAGGAGCCGCACTACCACCGCAAGCACGTAGCTGTTGTGCTGCTCGCTGCGCAGCGATGCGCCAGGTGTCATCGGGTTCGGCATCTGCAAGCTTGAGCTGCCGATTCACGTCCCAAAAGGCACGCACGGCAGCAACAGCCCCAGCAGGGACCTAGAACATTCAACTCGATTAATTTCTCGCTTCTTTGGAGCAAACAAAGGTCTCATACTGGCCTGCACGTGTGCGTTCTTTGCGCAGTCCCAGCACGCAGCACCGGTATCTATCCCGGCAAATTAGTGAGGCAAACGTATACTACAGGGGACAATCAACGTACTGTCCTGGGAGGCACATTCATGGCCGGGAGTCTTGGTGGCGCGTGTGACACAAGGACGGCATGGGAAGTCTCGCACCGAGCCGACGGGAGGGGCCTTTTTTGTCTGCTTCTTCTTCTGCTCGGGCGAGCAAGTTAGCCGCCTCTTCTTCATAGAAGAAGTTATTGGATTGTACGGTAATCTTGGCCGTGGATTTGCGGGCGTTGGGTCGGACCAATCCTCTACCCTTGACTATTTTATTCCTGCTGGGCGAGTCCCCATCCATCGGGCCAGCGACTGCAGTTTCACTTACGATAGCGGAATCTGCTGTGGACGTGACAACGCTGCTGACCAATGGCTTTCCACGGCAATGATGATACAGAAGGGAAGGTAGGAACTAGGGTTGGAAGGGATCTGGGTTCTGTAAATATTTGCGGGTGAGCAGCGTCGATCTGTTCCTGGTTTGGTAACCGTTCCACGAACAGCCCCCTGGCACTAAGCCGCTGCGGGCCAGCGACACCACCGCTGCGGGAAAACGCGGTAAGTCAATTTATATCGCTGTCCCCCTTTCCTGGCATGAGGACTAAGAAAATCACCATCCCTTCGACGTTACCGGCAACAATGGCACGTCCGCCCAATCCAATCGATCAATACCGTACCTATATCACTCATCTATACCTCAACGGTGTCTCGCGAAGCAAGATTAAGTATAAGCTTCGGAAGCATTACCATGTCGCCGTCAATCTCAGTACACTCTCTCGCCGAATCGCAAACTGGGGTCTCCCCGCCAGCAAGCCCGTACCAAAGAAACTCCAGAGCTGATAGAAACCATCCGTGACCTGATCTTTCGCGTTGGGCTTACCGAGAAGCAGACGCTGAGCGTGCTACAAAGACAAGGCTGGCCGATCACGAAACGAGGTCTAAAGCGCATCAGACTTCACCCGGACCGCCGCTGGTACGCAGGCTCAATAGTGACGAGGAGCGCCTTGTGTTGCTGGAAAAGACAGAACAGGTTATCATCGAGATGACGCGACGGTCCAATGCCATTTCGGGATATGGCAAAAGCCTTCTCCAGCCTTATCTTCGTCAGCAAAAGCAGCTCTGGGTCCCGAGAGACCCCCTCTTTGCGATGTACAAAATCATGTTCCCAAATGAGGTCGAACTCCGAAAAAGGATGTTTCGGAGGAAGAAGGGACAGTTTCTTGTCCCAGGACCAAACTACCAGTGGTGCATTGACGGCCACGACAAGCTCAAGGCGTATGGATTCGAGATATATGCAGCAATCGATGCATACTCGCGCAACATTATCTGGTTTTATATTGGCCACTCCGCTACAACTGCTTTGAGCGTATTGAAGCAGTACTTGGCCGCGTGTGGCGCCTACGGCTTTCGGCCATGGTATTTGCAAGCAGACAGGGGGAGCGAAACGCCATTGGTCGCAGCAGCACACTGGAACTTTGTCTTGGCAACAGACGGGCGAGTGGAATGGCATGGGCAAGTTTTCCGACAAGGAAATCGACTAAAGGATTCGTACAAGGCGGCTCCGAGTACGAAGAACGTTAAGATCGAGAGTTGGTGGGAGCGCATGCTGCATGTCTCGTCCCGGCAGTGGGTAGACTACTTTGGAGAACTCGCCAGGGACGGGGACTTCGACGGCGATATGCTGGAAGATCAGATTTCCATCTACGCCGTCTTCGAAGACTTACTACGCCGAGAACTCTTCGACTTCGTGGAGGCGTGGAATCTTCATCGGATACGCCTCCAAAAGAACCGTCCCCATGTGGTCCACGGCCAGCCCTGGATGAACTACCATTACCCCGACCCAGACAAGGCATGCAATTGGGGTATCGATTGACCGCTCCATTCTAGACGAAATGGAGCGGCCGTTGGCTGATATTGACATTAGCACGAGTTTGGAGCCGGAGACAAAGAACTGGTGCCGCCAAGTTCTCCTTGAAATGGGCTACGATCACGTAGTCCTTGGAACTCACCAGGAGCCGGACAAGTTGCGACCTTTCAAGCTTTTTACCTTGGTCTTCGAGATAAGATAATTCAACATATCGAAAGTGGCCGACAGCCTACGCTGGCATACCGTAAAGCGCCAACTGGAGGCGTTGCTGAATATGTAAGACATACTATTTATTTGCGAGTTGACCAATCTAAGAGCGTATAGCAAGCATTACTTGAGCAAGCAAATCAAGCCCGAGAAGGTGAATTTGGAGATGGGGAACCAGCAGAGCAGCCACTTGTTGAGCTTGGGTTTGAGGACGAGCAGGGAAGCGACATGGAGAAAATACCGGTAAGTGATGACGGGGAGGATAGCGATGGTTCGAATGGGGAGCCTGAGTAGTCAGTCCTTCCTTTTCCTATATCGAATAGCAAACGTTGTAGGGATCTTTGCACCCTTGAAGCGTGTAGAGTGAGCTGGAGGAAGCGCTTTAGCAGCGTTAGTGTCGGACAGTCGAGTTCGAGTTTCCCTGAAGGCTTGGGAAATTGACTCCGGGTTTACCTGTTGAAGTTAGCGCTCGGCTCGGTGATGAGTTGGTTCGGTTTCTTACGAACTCCGGAACAAAACTTGTCTCCTCCTCTCTATCTTTTTCGTCCACTTCGACTCCTTCGGCCACCACGCCTTTATACACCTTTCCACTAGGGTCACTGCCAAACACTAAATCTCATAGTGGATCTTCCAGCTCACCAAGGCCTACCGCATCCCCATGTCCAACAATTTCTTTGGCAGTATATCCAAGCTCGTCGCATGTCGGGCTCTGGCAGGATGAAGTTGAAACGGGCTCTTCGTGCTTAATCTTGACGCGGATCTCTTCCTTGACTTGCTCCTCTTGCTTGACGCGCTTCTTGCGTCTAGAGGCTGGGCTTATGTCTTCTTGCTTGACCCTCCGTTTCTTGTCTTCCTTGACTGGCGTCGAGCATTGATCTGGCCTCAACGGTGTGACCGGCTCCTGCTTATCAACCACATCCGTGGATGTCAGAACGACTAGCACCTTCAACTGCCCTGCTTGGTTGTTCGAAAAGTGCCCCGATGCGAGCATGCTTGACGGTGTCATGTACTTGTCGGTGTTTGGAACGGTAACGATTTTCTTGCCAGAGAAGGTCGAAGCGTAAGAAAGGTTCCAGAGATCTTTATTGGCAGGATCGATCGTGGGCGGAAGCGGACGGAGGTGATCGAATAAAGTCTCGGTGAACGAGGGCCAAGTCAGTAGATCTGCCGAGGGAAACTTGATCACCGCATCCTTCAGAGGCAGCACCGTCTCTGGAACCTCCACTGCAAGCCCGTTGAAGTACCTGGTCTCCAAACTCACAAGCAGCAGGCTTACATGGACCCACTGGTAGCCAGTTCGTTGCCTCGCAGGCTTCCTGGTGCTGCCTTTGGAGTTTTGAATGGCTCGACTGGCCGTTGATGCGACGGTCATGAACTGGGGATTGCTTGACGCCTCGAAGGGAGGTATGCGTGCCCGTGTATTCATCGCACCGGTACCAGCAACTTCATTGGGGAGTAGTTGGGCGGCGTGTCCAACGCCGATGGATGACACTGGTTTCAGTCTGTCACGCAGCAGCTGACTTGCTGGACTGACTGGCCGTGGCGGAGAGTCCTCGACCTCGACCTGTCAGAACGAGGCCACCTAAAGTGGACACAACACTAAAGGGACAGGCAGCAGCATTACAGGTGACCCCTGGTAGGCAGCAGCATTACAGGTGAACCCTAGGGGTTCATAGCGCCGACAGTACCCTCTGTTATATGTGCCCAGAGGACCTACGCCTCTGGACCTTGGGAATACACGGTTTTTTTGGGGTCATCATTGTGATCACTATTGTGATCACTATTGTGACTATCGTGATTATCGCTCGACAGCCCCATTACGGTCCTCTGACCGTTCTGACACGACCACCTCATCATATGGGCCAGGAAGTGCCGGAGTTTTAGACCTGGCCCGACGCTGCGGCCGAAAGGGGTTGGCCAAGCCGCAACGGCCGCGATAGTTCGCGCCAACGTATATGGTAGTGAAGAGGTCATAGTGCTTCTGTCCGGCTTGGACGCAGTAGACATGCTCAGGGGAATCTGTGGAGGCCCATTTCGGTTGAGGAGAAGAGGTAGAACCAGGGGAAAAGGAGGACAAATAGGATCGGACTCGGAAACGGGATTTTAATATAAGCAGAATAGTTACAGAACAATATCCCCTTGCCATGGCGAATGAAGATCGCCAGGCTTAGCAAGAGACTTCAACGCTAGTCCGGTGCTGACCAGTAGCGGGATTACTGCGGTAATCCTCTGCTGCCTCATGGCGCCGCTCCTCGTCCCAGTTACTCCTATGAACGTTAGGATGAAAACTGAACACAGCTGTGGTGGCCAGGAGGGGAAGTGGAAACATTAAAGTCCAAAGTTTCAACTCGGCACCGTATAGCAGAAGACCTCAAACTCTCGTGTGTATTTGCATTCTTTGTCTGTAGGGGCCCGGCTTTCACAAGTTCCCAGCGCCATCCAGGGGAGGGGACTTGGCAATATTCGCCGTCTTTGTCTTTGGTATTGTCGCTGTCTTCGGGCCGCGACAATACCAAAGTAAAGTTGTTTGGCGAAAACACCGCGCCGCTCGCTCGATTTCACTTGGAAAAATATCGATCAGCTTTTCAGGAACGAATTTTGGGTACAGCATCATGCGCATCCATACGTGTGTAAGTGGTTTGCGAGCCGGATACCATTTTACGACTGGTGCGGCAAACTGGCAATTAGACTGGCAGAAGGATGACCGTGCGGGCCCGCTGCTAGTCCGCAGTACATACTCTCATGCTGACCTGAAGTATCCGGATGGCCAGGGGGTTGGGCGCCTAAACCCAAAAGAAAATGACAGGGAGTTTTGCAACAGTGACCCCTATCGCCCACCGTAAGGGACCCCGATATCTGCATACACAGGAAACAAGTACCGGTATGTAGCGTACTATCGCTCGCCACCACCATGAGACACGAATTCGTTATTTTTGAGACTAGGGAAAAGCAGAGTGACAGTTCAGCAAAATGGGTTCTAGAAGTGCACATATAGTGCATGTGACATGTATTAAGGAATGTGATATCGGCTGAAATGTACTTGCTTAGCAGCAGCCGCTGATGACTGTCCCAGTCAGTCAAACAGCATTCAAATGAAGAAGTCAGCCCGAGGAGTATAATAACTTAGAACTTAGCATATAATTAAGCCATATTTATTACCCATCGCTTTATCTAATATAAATACTATACTCCCATGAAATACTTTTTATTTTAACTAAGCAATTCTCCTTCTTTTATAGGTTTAAATTCTCTCCCCCTCCTACTAGCTAAAAAATATTCCTACTTTTCTTCTATATTAACATTATCATGCAACCTAAGACTTTAACCATTTTTATTATTATAGCAGCTGTGACCGCTAAGGCTCCTCCTAAAGTCATAAGCCCAATTGGTAAATGGAAATTCCACGGCTGCTATAAGGACCATCATGACAAGCGGACTTTCCACTATCATAAGGATGGGTACCACTATGACGATATGACCCCTGATAAATGCCTCGTTATGTGTAACGCAATTTTTTTTAAGTATGCTGGCTTAGAGTCTGGCTTTAAGTGTTATTGCGGCTCTAAGGCTGATTTAGATCGGTCTGGTGCAAAGAAACTTGATAAGGGTAAAGGATGCACAAGCGAATGCACTGGCAAGAAGAACGTTAGTTGTGGCGGCCGTTCGAACTTGTTAGTATACGCTCTAGACGGTTAAGAGCAGGTTGATTGCTATGCCTTGAGGAACGAAAGATTTCTATGTGTCAGAAATGAACAGGAAGATGCCATGCATGTGAGAGTTATTGAGACTCATATAACAAGGCGCCGTGACCCAGAAGAGCAAGAGGCCGTTGACAGATCTTGTGTCAGAAGGCTCCAGGTCCAAGGGGAGGGGACTAGCCGCAAAGCTATAGCTACAAGACCCTTGCCCTTGAACTTGTGGGACAACCACTGGCTTCTACGGCAGGATCTTGCCGTCACAGACCCATACAGACGAATTCGCGATCCTCGAGTCATTGCCCGGCGCCGCAGACCAGCCAGAGCCATAGCCTTTGCACCTGTGGCCACGACTGCAGCCGTTGCAACAGCCGCTGTAACTACACCTGTGGCCTCGTCAGTGTTACGGGGTCAGCACTGTTGGCACAGGTGCTGGGCGTAATTGATGTAAATTGAGCTACAAAGAGTGTAAAGGGGAGACGTGTCTACATCGCTCCCTTTAGGAGTCGTGTCCGTGGCGCTCGCACGTGACTAGTCTGGCCATGCCAGATCTACACATCGGGGCGTAGCCCCTTACATTAGCCCCCTACTCCTCTCTGGCGCTGGTGCCCTTTTTCCTGTTCCTGGTCCCCTAGATCGATCGTAGGCCGTCGTCTATAGGGTCTGGTGCCGTTACTATCGACGGGCGTCGCCATTAGTCCTAGCCCGTAGTGGTCCGCGTATTCTCTTGCCCTGTATCTGCAGCTGTGGTTGTATTCCTTCGACTTGCCCCTGGATTTGGGCCGGCTGTGCTTCCGTTGCCACTCGTCGGTGCTGGTATGGTCCATCGTTTTCGAGAGCCGGGCCGTATCTCTGTTCGTACTTATCCAAGGCCGCTGTCTGTTGCATATTGTCTAAAGAGGTCCAGGTCGGGTCTTGCCAACCTTGCCAGCGTACAAGGACTTCCCGCCTACGGCCGCGGCCGGTTCTCTTCCACCTAGCGCATAGTATTTCCTCTACTACTTGGTGAGCCTCCCGTCTACTTGGATAGATGGGGTTGAGCGTCTGTGCGTTGCTGACCAGGCATTGGGTCCGTCCCCGCTCTCCGGAGTTGGTCGACGTGGA